CACCAGAAAAACTTCGTGCGCAGCGCCCGCCACCACTTGCACTTGCGCGCCGTAACGTCTCTGCACTGGCTCTACCTTTAGAAAAGATATGTTCCCAGGCGGCACCACGAGGAGGTTGCAGAGTCCGAATTTCGCCGCCCAAGCTCAGGGGAGAGAAGTGTAGCTAGTAGTTGGCGAACATATTTACCTGTTACCAGCCTCAGCTCATAGCTTTTTAAGTGACGGCTGCCCCGATGATGAGGGTTATCGAGACCCGTGACCAGCTAGAATGGCTTCGTATAGGCAACAGCCAATATAGTAAGGGTTGGGGCGTTGCTTTGTCTTTGGTCAAGCATATCCATCGGTGCTGGAAATACCACTGCTGTTACAATTTGGACGAGTAAAATTGTGTTGATGACGCGTCACCATATGAATAGCCAGACTTGAAGTCTTGGCTGTCTCTCGTCAAAACATCCCAAGGTGATGAGAATTACAAGGTAATCAGCTCGCAGGTCCGGCAGGCATAAGATTACTACCACGGCAGGCTGTATATAAGCCGGAAATAGCTGGTAGTAGTTTGCTGCACCTACTTATGCTTTGAACCAAGGCAACACGCACTGGTTACTGGCGTTCTTTTGGCGGATCAGGTGTCTCAGTGCAGGATAGATAGCGAAGAGGGAGTTGGAGGTCTCAGCGGTGTGTCTCAAGCCTCGCCATCGATTATTACCGGACAGCGCGACAGCCAAGCACCACCCGCAAGGGTGGTTTGTGTGTGAGTGTGGCATGTTGTGTAACCTCATCCATTCCCTCCGGCGGGTTCCTCCCAGTCCTTTGGTAGGGTAGTGGAAAGTTGCTTATTTTGGCCGATCTTTTGTTCTCGCCGAAAGTAGCGAGCAGGCCGTCTTCACTTGGTCTCCATCGCCGAACCTTCCCACTTCGTCATATTAAAACACACACATTCTCATCTATAGTCCCTCGTTCTGCAGGAGTGACTAAGTCGCCATTTGACTGGTTGAAAAGTTAGCTCGCGGAGCTGGATCCGATAGGTCTAATGCTGTAAGACATGATGCCTCCGAAATAGGCGCGTTCAACCAAGCGAGAAAAGAGACTCTTTCGTCTTGAGTTCTGTCCAGTTACGCACGACATGTTGACTTCTTCTGTTCAGCTACGTTGCCGCTTGAACAGGGAGGAAGAGACAACAAATCGACCAATGAAGTCAATGCCAGAGCCTCGTTTTCATCTTACATCGCAGGTGGCCCATTTTCGCTCGATAACTCGGGCTCGCATTGGTGCATCTTATCAATACGAGGATTTCCAAATGTTCTCGTTTGGTCTTCATAAAACCTCGCCTCTCACCCGTAGCTTTCAACAAGCGTTTTATTCTTTACGCCTTCACTCGCTCCCCAACACACCCGAGACTCAGCCCACATCGTCACCAACGTACCGATATAGCCTTCGGACCCTCTTCAGTAGAAAGCCCCAGATTTTACTAGTCAATGTCAACGTTCATTACCCCGAAATATGTCGAGCTCGGCACATGATTACTACGATTACCATGAGAAAAGCAGCCTTTCGAGTCCCTCATGGTGGGATACGGTCTTGAATTCAAATGAAGCTGTCCAGGGAGATCGTCAGGAACAAGGGGCATCGTGTAGTCCATCCAGCTATGCCAGCGGTGGCAACGGTCTTGGCGATTACTTTACACACACCGAAATCATCCACTGCCACCCACAGGAGCCAACGCTAGACCTCAACATCAAACAAGCCACCAAAGCCCAACTTGAATGGTTTCTGACTGCCCATTGGGGCCAAAATGATTGGCTACCCATTCGATGGCAAGATTCCTCGAGTACATGCAGGACAGTTCTGGCTCAGTTGGCACTGTCAACCAAACTATGGCTGCGTCACCAACCGCTCATACCATTGCCTTGGCTTTGGTATGAACATTCGGATCAGAATTTGTGCGGTGCTTTTGTACGTGCCATCCATCAACGCAAACCTGGGACGGTTCCTCTGCTCACAGCCGACAATGCGAAACGTGCTGTCCAGCTTTTGAGGTCCCAGTTTTGGCACAAGACGAAGATCAATCCATCTGAAAAACGCCACCTGGAGGACCAGGAGGGTTCCGGCCGCACATATACCATGGCAAGTACAGCCACTGATGGCTGCACGTATGACTAGTCTATGTGGTGCCAAGAAAACTGTGATACATATTGATGATGGTTGGTGGTAAAAGGTCACGGTGGCGACATTGTTCGTTCAGATCAAGTCTAAGCAGACGGTCCCAAATACCTAGGAGATGAAACTGAATCGTAACCTTTTATTTGGTCAGCAATGGAATACTTATAACATCTCCCAAGTCCTCAGGTTGAGAGTGAGCTCTGTTCTAGTGTGTCTTTAAACTGAGGACTTTGCTGTTCTTCTGATCCCTTTTCTTTTTGCCGCCTTCAAGATTGATCTTAGGTTGTGGACAATCTTCGATATTTAGACTCCAATTTCAAGAGCTTTTCGATCCAGGCGGATAGGGCGATGAAGATGACAATAGAAGAGACCATGACCTGAACGATGAGCATGACAGGGGCCGGCATAATGGATTTTAGTCAATAGAACCTCATCCTTTGGATAACAGTAACAGCAAAGCCCCTGTTTCAAAGCAAGTCTGCAACGTCTTTTCCACCCGCCTCCATCAGGTAGACATCCCGTTCGTGTTCCTCCACAACGAATCTGCCTTCCTTGATCTTGAGAAGATAATTTATCACTCTCTCGATCCATTCCCGGGCCACCTTTCCCCATTTAACCATGTCGTTCGCATTCATTCTAGGGCCATTCAGCTGGGATCTCAAGATTTCGAGAAAACCACGATAGTTTTCGGGGGCGGTGAAATCATTGTAGGAGGTGGCCGCGTAGAGATCGTCGGTGAGACCTGCGGCTTCAGCTCGTGGGCCATACTTGCGTCGCATGTGTCGAGCCCACCTGGCGTTCTCAAGATCCTCGCATAATTCGACAGATGACGACCTGCCGATGCGCTTTCCAATATGCGCAGAAAGTGCGGCGTCGCTGATGCGTTGGTTGGTGGGAATGCAGCGCCATTTCTGGATGAACTGGCGGGAAATTGTGTCCATGTTACCTGCCGTTGTTAGATATGTGTTGCTCTTGAGGATCGTTTCATGCAGGCGGACGGGAATACCTTTCCGGCGATCGCTTCAACTCTTAGTTTGCTCGGCCTTTCTAAGCGGAGGATGCTTTTGTAGGTGAATTTTCTGCAATATCTTCGGCAGATATGGGCACATCCTGTCGTTGGTTGAATGATCCAGGTTAGTTCTTTTCAACATCGCCGAATAAACGGAGATAGAATACGCAGTCTTACCGGCTCCTCCAAGTTTCACCCATCCAACCAGTATACCACTGATTTTCTCGCTTGTTCGCTTTTTTCAGATATTTTTCATTGATTAGTATTAACAAGACGCAGTTCAGAGAGCAGCACGGCCTGGGCTTGGAAGCAGGTCCAGCAACACCGCACCCGGCCCTCTTTTTCCTTTGGGCAGGACCAGATTCCCCCACCACCTTCCTGACGCTCTGAAAAGTCCGCAAGGGGGCCTCCTACGTCTTGGGAAAGCTAGCAACACTGCTGAAAATTGTTTGACATCTGTTTCACATCTTACTAATGCGAAGTGTTGTTTTCAATGAGCATCCTCGCATTTGCTCCGGCGCAAATACGCCTTTCTGTTCCGATTTCCAACATGGCCGACAAGATTCCCTAAACCGGCGAGGTCACCTTCTCTGCCATCATCCTCGCGAAGGCCAAACAATGAGAATTCCAGCAGTCCGCTACGAAAAGAATAATTCCCCCGTCCGAATCTATCTCAATTTCTGCGACTCGTTGAACCTACGCGAGTTCACAATCAACGTATGTCCTGATCGGCAGCAGATATCGGCAGAATTTGCAATGACAGGCATGCAGGAAATTGAGGCACGAAAGAATTAGTTCCAACCTACGAGAGAGGCAATCGAAAGAGTCCGGGTTGCGAAGGTGGACGGATCGTCAGTCGGGGAGAAAAGCCAACAAGGAGATCCAGCTCTGCAGCTCCAACTAAGAACATCGCTGTCGCCAAGTCCGATACCACCCCAAGCCGCGTCTTGCGCTCCGAGCACACCCTGGAACGCATAGAAGCTGCTACTGCCATGCCACAAGCGCCTCATCGTGGCTTCTCAACAACTATCGACAGATCTACACGGTCGCCCGACGTCAGCAAGAAACCAAAGGCCACGAAGGCCGGGTTGGATGCCGCCGTGCATGTTCTCCGAAATGGAAAGATCATTGGTCTGCATCCTACAGTTTCTAAGCGACAATGCCTTCGTACACGCCACGGGCCTTCCGAACTCGAATCCGTCATTAACGAGACCACAAAGATTCGAGCGGAAGGTAAAGGGGAAGGAGGCCCGCCGAACATCCACAGCAAACCGTCGTCCTTGGCTAGTCACAGGCCCAAGCGCATTGAAGAGCGTGGATGGACATGAGTTGCTGAGTGGCGACAAAGGGTTCGAGAGGACACGGTCCAAAGTACGTTTGAAGTATCAGAGATTTGCTTCGTGATATGTTAAGATAAGCACATGCTGGCCCATGACCGGAAATCCATCGTGATAGAGCAGAGCTTAACCATCTAAACCGTGATGACTTCCATTCCACCCCATTCCAGAGCCCGAAAAGTGCTTGTATCTTTCATTCCTGCCACATCAATACCGATTCTAGCAGACCAATCAATGGCCTCTAGTTCCGCCAGAGTTTTCTGTCCGTGAGTTTGTTTGAATGCTCCACGGAAGATGAGAAAGACGCGAGCAACCGTGTCAGGTCGGGGCTCGATCTCCAAATGAGCAACCTTCTGGAAGTCTGATTGGGGCACGAAGTCGAACGCAATATCTTGACCCCTGTCGCGGATTTTCATGAACTTGGGCAACCAGTACACAATTAACTCGGTGCGCATGGCTGGTGTCAATGTCAGGGTCTGCAGGACCTTCTCGAGGTAAGGCAGAAAGTCGTCGAAAGACAAGATGAGCGCGGTTGGTCCCTTAAAGCAAAGGAGAGGGCGCTGAGGGTTGAAAGGAAAGTTGAATAAAAGTTCCGGAGCGATGCTATCGCCTGCGACGGCCTTGGCTTCCCAAAGGAGGTAGCTGCACTCCAAGTTCGGCCCTGAAGCTTCCAAAGTCTCGAGCGTGCCATCCGGGCTTACAGAGACTTGCCACTTGGCGCTGGATTTGCCAGAAAGGATGGTGGGCTCGACGATTGGATAGAGAATAGAGAATTCCCAGTGCTTTGTGAGGGTGACGTCTACGGTGACGGCGGAGAGCTTTGCCGGAGACATGAGGTAAATGGCAGGCTTGGCCCCCCGATATGCCAGAACGAAATGAATCAAGTCGTTGTTCTTGACTGAGTAGGAGGCCAAAGTCCGAACAACCGTCATTTGCTTTCCCTGAAAGATGAGTCGTTGGCCTCCGGGAGGCACGCCCTCACTTTCATAGAGTAGATTTTTGAGCTCCGCAACCGAAGCTGAGGCTTTGGTGTCTATCGTGATGGTCTCGCCAGTCACTAAAGAATCTACGTAAGCTTGCGACGAACCAAGACATCGGGTGGGGAAGGAAGACATAGTTACATGTTTTGACGTGAACGACGAAGCTTGAGGTCGGCTGAGAGGCTTTCCCAGTCTTCGTCCGCTTTCTCTTTGGCTCGGGGTCCGCAGTAGTCTGTGAGTGCAACTTGGAGAAGAAAAGGATGCTTTTGTCGGGGATGGCGTGGTAGGCAGTAGGATCAAGCTCGACCTCTTCGTCCAGGAAGGGTTGAATGAACTGTGCACAAGCAAGTCGGCATCTCCTAGATTGAACTCCGTACGCGCCTTCTGGATGAGCGACTCATACGAGTTGGGAAGTCCGATGAGGCGGCGGCGATGATCAAAAACGATGATGACCACAGACATGGCGAGGCTTGCTGGTCAGCGTAGTCGTGGAAGAATATGCGTCAGAGGCTGCAATGAGAGATCCAGACTGTTGACGAGAAGGAGGACGGTGGTGAGGAAGGACACTTGCGATGGGGAGATCCAAATTGATGGAAGCCCTTTTGGAGATGATTGCCCAAAGAGGAGACTTCAGTTCGGTAGAAGTTGAACCAAGCCTGAAGTTGAGGAGGTTCTGTGTTGGGGAAGGAACGGTGAAAATAAAGCTGACTGTCGGCCAAGGTTTAAGGCAGGAAGGCCCCACACAGACCCGAGTACTTTCTGGAAGTGGCCACCTGCCCATTCTGCTGAGTATGGTCATGGAATCCTGAGTAGAGGCAATCATCACAATAGAGACGACGACGGCAAAGACAAGGATAGTAAGCACCATGTTCACATTTCGTCTTCAGCTACGTTCTTTGACAGCGAGATTGTCATTCAACGCACCTTGGTCATATGCTGACGGGAAGCGCGAATGATCAATATTCCAGGGAGACCAGAATATGGGTAACCATCAAGATTCCGTTCTATTGCCCAGAGAACCTTTCGATACGATATAATAGCACAGCGAAGCAGAGATCCCGACCCATCCCTGAAATTAGACGCTCGCTGCCAATAAACCAAGTACAAAAGTTCCAAAAGTTTGATGCTTCGTGTCATCGCTGTCTCCCCAAAAGATATCCTTCATACATCTGGGCGATTCATGATCCAAACTATCCGTCCGAATGGTTCGCCGGGTCTTGATCAATCGTCGAGGCTGACCATGCTCGTGGTTGTAGGATCAACGTCGCAGCCAGAAAACAACTCCTGCAGCAGCCTTTTGCCGCGTTCAATGAGCAAGTCGTTTACCGGGCCATTCCGAACCAGGAATGTCACAGCGGCATAGTCGCGGCTCGAGGTAGTCGTGATCTTCTCGTTTCGGTGAATGGCTGGAATTTGCAGGCGGACTTGGGTTGCTGCAGTAGGTCTGAATGGACTAGTCGTTGCTGTTGGGCGATCGAATGCGGAGGATCGGGGGCGTATCTGGGCGGTGGTCTGACGCGAAGATGTAGTATTGTAACGGTCTGTCTGGGACTGGATACTGGCAACCTCGTCATCATCGACATCGAGCGCAACTACCGAGTCGTCTGACGAGGAGTTGGGTAAGTCGTTGTCATTGTTGGTGGAAGCGTATGATCCGTCAGAGCTATCTGAATTCGAAGATCACGTCAGCCGTTGTTGCCCAGAAAAGATGTGAACAGGCGTACCGCCGTCAGTAGAATGATAGCGAGCAGCTGTCTTACTCTTCCGCACAGGACGAAACACTCGAGCGGGAGTTCGAGGAGCCGGCGCAGGACGCGCATGGGGTGTCGATCGGTGAGGCTTTCCAGGTTTAGGAACCTTCTTGGCCCGGAGCCTGACCTTCTTGCCCGGGTCGTGGGGCTGGATTTTGCCATGTTGCTTCTGGCGAGACATCGTGTGAGCCAAGCGCGACTAATCAGGTGCGAGTGGGTTTCTTTGGGAAGGAGCAAAGCGTTGAGCCAATTGAGGTTCAGAAGAAGTAGTAGTGATATCCGACGTCCAGTCGAGTTCTGTGCGTTTGAGCGACAAGTCGGGAAGTTGCCAGACGGGGGCAACGATAGAGAGAGAAAGAACGAGTTACCTGACTGGGAAGGTGCCTGCCTTCGAGAATGGGGGAAAGAGCGGGCTCTCTTCGTCAACGTTCTCAGCCGCTCCTTCTTTGTGCTTCTGGTGCCGAGTTCCCTGCCACACGTGTTCCAGGTAACCACCCAAGTGTCAACATGAAGATACAATGCTCTTTCTCGAACGAGGCCGAGTGTTCCTAGTGGCGTTGAGATCCGTTTTAATCCAGCCAGCGACTGGTTTCGTTCGCCATTCTTGGTTGCCTTCTCCAGTGTCTAATTCTCCAGTCGCTTGTATTCCGTCTCCGATTCTTCATCTGTCATTGTTCACTTGGCCACACTATTATTTAGTTTCATGTGAAACTATCACGCGACATCAAACTGTGAAAGAGATGACAATAGGTCGATTGCGGTGCGCAGTTCCTTTGTATAATGGCGTTATGCTGAACTGTGCATTACAACTGCTATTAATCCTGGACAGCAAATCTCTGGATTTCCGCTGTATAACAACAAACCACTTTGCTGTGTTGAAATACGTATCGAAACCGTTTCCTGAAAGAGCTTCATCGTTGATGTTTGTCTCATCATAGTCTGGTTCTCGAGTCTTCCGTCTTTTCCCAGCGCTCCGCTGTTTCCAATGGCCGAGTCATGAGCGGTCTTCGCTGTTGTCGTCATCTTCATCGTCATCGTCACCGTCGTCATCGTCCTCCTCCTCCTCGCCGTCGTCGACTCTCAGCCTGAGTTGTTCTTCCTCTGTAATTTAGAGTCTCCGCCGGCCGTGGCTCGTTGTCCACGGTGGCCCTGGCGGGTCGTCAGTATCTGTCTCCGCCCGGACCTCGGCGATAGGTCTCGGAGTCCGGAATGTGGGAGGCCTTCTACAGACGGAACCGGTAATTTCTGAGACCCGATCGGAGTCGCGAAAATCATTGCTTGCTCGTAGAAGCCCCATGAGCCTCTACTCCTTTTCATTGTGATATGGCACCTTTGTGCATCGAACCGATTTAGGTGGGCAAAAACTTCTGCGAGTCGCTCTCCTGTTCAGAGAAGCTCTGAGGGAAGGCAGCAATGCCGGCTACAATGGCGATTGCCATGAAGCAGAGACTGATGAAGACCCAGATAAGGCCCCAGCATCGAGATGAACCGCCGTATCGCTGGGCAAAAACGCTTGCATCCGAGCTGTTTACTTTTCGCATGATGAGGTCGTCACAGATATCCCAAGCAGAGTAAAGAGCGGACATTACTCCGAGGAAGAGCTGCTGCCGCGTTAGCTTTTGGGAAGTTTGGTCTGGGTCGGGCACTACCCACAACAACGAATCTTAAAGCTTGGGCATGAGAAATGAACCATGCAGCAACAAGCAGCCCGACAGCGAGAAGAACCGTCAGAATAGTGAGCCAGTCTCGTTTTCCCCACCAAAGTGTGAGTAGGAAACAGACTCCGAGGACCATGGACGCGATCTTGGATGCGTTGATGTTGAAGCCGCAAAAGATGAGCAGACCTCCGATGAGCGACGAACCGAGATAACCAGCCGGCAAAGTAATAGCTTGAACACCTCTGAATGAAAATAGTCAGCGGACCGTTCGAATGAAGAAAGCAGCGTGTCCGTTCAGGCCCCGCCGTCGATTCAGGTCATGGTTGATCGTAGTTTCAGCAACAACAGCATAAATTACATCGCCAGCATCGCAAAATTCATGAGAAATGAAATAAAACGAACCCCTTCATCAATGTGGCTCCCCCTCTGATATTTTTGTCAGTAAAACAATGTTTTCATGATGAAGCTTTTGATGATACCTACTCATTAGGATCCAGTGTGATTGATACAACACGACCGCCGGTACAACACGCGGTGATGGCGTGGCCAAACTCGTGAAACGCTACCGTGAGCATCTTAAAAGGCCAAAGAATATTTCGAAGATACGGAACGTTCCAAAGAATGGCGATGGCGACGACGTATGCTGCGATAACACCAAGGGTGACACCCTGAGTTGAGTTGACACTCAAGTCACGGCGAGCCAATGCATGATGGGTCGCGCGCGCGACTTCTGGCGCAGCGAATATGGCTGCCCTTTTCCATACCATATTAGCGACATTACTGGCGCGAGCAAGCGTTTGTCGCGCCGTCGTTGGGTTGACTGGCGCCATGATTCGGCGGATTGGTGAGAAAGCGAGCGTAGGTGTGTGCGCGAGAACGAGTGTTGTAGCGACCGAGTAGCAGCGGTTGGCAGGCCAAGTGCTGAATGAGAGCAAACAGGAAAAAAGACAGGTCGTCAGCAAGTTCTTCTGGAGGGACCGAATGACTTTTAAAACAAGCGATCGTCAAAGCAATGCACACGCAAAAATACGTAAACAAGCATTACGCGGCGGACGCGGGCTGGGCTGAGGCTGGGCTGCATTCCCCCCCCGTAATCAGCCCCTGTTTCTCCCCGGGCCCCTTTTTTTTCCTTGCTGGCGACCAGAGTGCGCTGCACTGACGCTGCTGTCGCCTTACGAAGAAAAGGTTTGGCAGATGAACGGCCCCACCCCGGCGTCCGGCACTGGCCTGCACTGCCACCATGCGACATGAGCCGACGCTGTGCTGAGTGGCTGGGGCTGCCCACGGCGGCGGCGTTGGCCGGCTTGGGTCTTGGGGATCGGGTGAACTTGCCGGCTATTTTTAGGGAAGGCTTGGCCCAGCGTGACGAAGCTTTGAGAAGTGGCTAGTGAGTGCTGCGGCTGGTGCTGTGGCTTGCCCGATGCATACGCCAATGACATAAGCAATGATTAGATAAGTCCAGTGTCTTGATCTGTGCGCAGCAACGGACGAGGGGACGTGCACCTGCCTCATGCAGTTGGGCGTTTTAGCTTCCAGAGTTTCCCAACGGAAACCTGACGTCTCTCTGCTACTCCCCTTACCCAACGTGTTGAGTAAGGTAAGGTCACGTCCTCACACCTCAATTACCTAAACCGAGTACATCCTCAAGAGACGAAGTAGTATGGCTAGTCAAGTACCTTTACCGAGGCCGGGCCGCGGGACGCGGGACGACCAATGGCCCGTCACCCAGCACCCAAGCTCCCGAAGCTCCCAGCTATTCATCCGCTCCGTCATTTGGATCAGTCGCTGAAATCACTTATTTCTGAATCGTCGTCGCAAGTGAGCCATTGAACTCATACATAACCCAAACCCTTTACTATTTAACACCCATTCGGCCTCTGTCTCCAACATGGCCGCCGCGATAGACAGCTCTACCACGCCGCTCAGCCAGCAATATGACACCCCGCTCGGCTTGGCTCACTCCACAATGCAGGCCTTGAAGGACAGGATCAAGCTGCACTATGATCTTGCGAGTGATTATTATCTGAGCCTCTGGTACGCTTTCCTCCGTGCGAAACTATTCTGAAGGATGTGCTTGGTATTGGCCTGGGATGCAGAATACCTGGCAATTGGAGAGTTCATCCTCTCGTCCGAACACAAGTCCGCTCCACAGCCCGACACCCGGGTGGCATAGCAGCTTTCCTTAGCGACTCTAGGAAGCAACACATGACTTTCAAGTTGAACACTATCTAACATTGCCTGTTTGCAGGGGCGAGCACATCCACCACGGCTACTGGGAGAACGATTCTCAGACCAAAGAGGAAGCTCAGGTCAACCTCATCCAGCTGCTCCTCAGAATCTCCAAAGTAGGCGACAACAGCACAGTTCTGGATGTCGGGTGCGGAATCGGCGGCACATCCCGATACCTTGCCTCGACGTTGGGGTGCACCGTGACCGGCATCACCATCTCGACCAAGCAAGTCGAGATCGCAAACCGACTCACCAAGGCTGAGGCGGCAAAAGACCAAGAAAAGAACGAGGTGGAGTCCGACGTCGATGGCTTCATCAAGCTTGGTCGAGGCAAGGTGCGCTTCATCGAGCTTGACGCAGAGAAGATGGGTGACTTTTTTGCTGGGCAGGGGGGCTCATTCGACGCCGTCTGGATCAGTGAGGCTCTCAGCCATTTCCCCAACAAGGCGCTTTTCTTCGAGAACACTTTTAAAGTTCTGAGACCTGGCGGCAAACTGGCGTTGGCGGACTGGTTCAAGGCCGAGAACCTGATCGAGACAGATTTCAACAATGACATCAAGCCAATTGAGGGTGAGGACGTGCCCTACACACACAGCTCTTGGTCCGATTCAAGCTAACCAAATTCTCACAGACGGCATGCTACTCCCACCCATGTGCACGCAGCAGGGATATGTCGACCTGGCGAAGAAAGGCGGACTCAATCTACTTGATGGGCCCAAAGACATTAGCAAAGACGTCGCAAGAACCTGGTAAAGACCCGCCCGTGTTACACTTTGGCTTGTGGTCGCTAACATATGCTTCAGGGATATTACGTGGTCTCTCATCCAGAACCCCTCTCTGTGGGCTTTCGCCTTCAGCCAGGGCCGCGACGGCATCGCCTTTCTGCAATCATTCCGCGCGATGAGGCGAGGTTACGCGAACGGGACCTTCCAGTACGCTGTGATCTCCTTCGAGAAAACCGGTGGAAACTGAGATGGCGGGTGTGAAATACGGCGCCGAACTGAATTTTCGGATGCTTGCTTCGTATGGAACCACTATATGCGTTCACGACAGATGATTGAATTGAGAAGCACCTTGGATCAGACTTGCCCAAACATGTTTGTTCTCTCAGTTTCGATGATCAGCTGACTAGAAATGATCTGCGGTGATCAGCCTGTATTTTTTATGTGGTTCATCATCAGACAGCCAGGTCTTCAGCCTCTACATTCGTGCGATGCGTTACTCAGCGAGGTGGCGTCAGAAGAACTGACTTTTCGAATAAGAAAGATTACGTATCCTATCTGAACCATGCTTCAAAGGACAGGAAGGTAAATGCGGTCTCAGACGTAGTTCAAATGTACCAAGCGCCTCGTGTGCGAGCATAGGTAACGTAGACACCGTTAGGCATACTACAGAGACTGCTTTGATACAATTCTCTTAGCCACGTTCTATCGTGATACCAGGCACTAGCCTTGTTCAAAGTGAGCTGCAAATAGCCGCAGCTGACTTTTGGTTAGCTCTTCGGGTACCCAAATCAAGAGACCAGCTGATTTTCCTATGCCTGCGCGGCTATATTTGCTGTGAAGTAGAAGTCATAATAATAACACCAGCAGCGGCAACGACAATAACAGCAACAACGATGACACCAGCAACAAAGATACATGTGGTAATAGCGACAACGAGGACGACGGCAGCGGCGGCGATGACGACGACGACGAGGGAATGTTGAGCTACGAGATGTTTGGCTAGGAAATGTTCGGACGGGATATTTTCGGCCGGGAACTGCTAGGCCAGAGGAAGCTCATTTTGGGAATGTTTAGACAGGGAATGGTTAGTCTAAGATGGTCTCGCTGATGATAGGTTTATTAACGATATATTTAATGATAAATGAGACGATAAGAATACAAATAGATCTCATAATGATAAGTGTAGCATTTGGAGATTCCAGTATATCGAGAGATTTCTCAAGGCATGCCAAGCTGGGTTGTCACGTGTTCGCCTCCATCAAGTCTATGACTTTCGCAGGACACCCGCACGACAATATCTTTCAGTCGCAGAGCATCGACAGTTCCAGCCGCGATGTCGTGAATCGAGAACAGGGCTAGTGCCACGACGACTTACATGAACCTGTTACTGAACCGCAACCAATAGGACGACACCTGGTCTTCAATAGGATGAAAAAGCGCGGATGGTATTGCTTGTTTCCTTTCCAAAGTCCCGCCAAGTTATCAAACCAATACCATACTAGCTTGATTTAGCAGCTCTGCCAGGCAAAGGAAAGCGCCTCTGTCACAGGCGACGTTGAGGAAACGCGCTCCCTACCAAACACCACTCTACCGCCTTCCTGCGCGATGATCCGGAAAATAACATTCAGAATGCCCACATAACCATTGCTACCAACGCAAGGCGACGATGACCCTAGGCGCTGAGCGATAGCTACATTCCGAACAACAGCGCTGGACCCCGAGGACGTGCTCGTCTGCTTCGTTACCTTGAAAACCGATATATCAGAATCTTGAGAGAGATTATCCCAGCATGCGATGATAACACGACTTACCGTATCAGACGCTGTCTCGCTCCAGTATGCCGTCGTGTAAAAGTCAACCTTGGAGTTGGGGCTCAAGTAGAGCCCGCCGCGGACGACAACGTCCTGCAGCACCAGCGACTTCCCGGACTCACCCTGGTCGACGAGCAAGTGAACCTGGCAGCTCGTCATCTGGCCAGCCGCAAGAGACTCGCCAAAGTCGGGCAGCGTGATCGTCAGGTCGCTGAGGTCGCCGGACCATGTCACTCGGGCATCTTGGGGACAGCCAGGGCCGCTGTGCGTGAGGGATCTGATTCGGGCAGCGGAGGCAGCGGCAGCTGCCAAAGATAGGAGTAGCGGAAGTAGGATCATCTTTAGCATTGTTGCTGGAAGGCTCGATGTCGACGGGTGTGTCGCTAGAGGCAACTTACGATGTGCGCAAGTCGATGGGGGGAAGGCAGCTCCTCTTATACATCCACGGAGCTTATGATGGCACGAATCATAGTCTCGGGAGGCAGCCAAATCTGGGTCGCTATGGCTGCGGTCTTCCAGCAAGGAAGAGGGTCTGGACCGTTTAATATGGTGGTAGCTGGCGAGGTGGTGTTGGTTAATTGGGCAGATATATCCAGCAAATTACCCCGGCAGCGACGAACCAAATTTGCCTTCCAGCTTTTAATCTACAGAGGTCGTAGTCAGTGTTCTGGACCTTGATTGACTGGCTCTTTCTGGACTTCAATCTGGATCCCATGGTTTAGCCGCCGCCACGTATCTGAATGGAGATCATCCGGAGACATGGTCGACACACAACAGCAGGTATCGCCCTGCGTCGGATGAAGATGCTCCTGATTGAAGTAAATACACAACATTCGCTTGCGACACACCCGTTGTGTTATGAGAACAATGATGGCTGCCGGTAGAGACAACTACGCATATGTACGGTTTGAAGTGGTTTGAATTCCAAATAATCATCTATGCGACAGGATGGCTCGTTTGACACGTCTCCAGCCGCCTACCTCTACAATGCTGTGTACCGCAGATGCTGCACCAAACTCCCAACGATGCTAATGTTATCATGTGTGGACTTCAAAGACCAAAGCCTAAACCGAGCTCCCTTTATGATGCAACCGCCCATGCAATGCCTCTTCAATGACTACGATGGCTAGTCCCAGCTCATCCAATTGGACCGCAAAACATCGTCTTCATCTTTCGTATGATTGGCCGCTGGATTGGCAAGTTCATTTCCCTTCTCCGTCTTATTTTCCTCGTCCGAGGAGCTCACCCTCCCGTCTACGAGTCAATCCCAAAGTCCTCCCACAGAATCGTTCACCGCGATGACTTCACGGCTGCTAATCTCGGGCAAGTCTTTGCCTTCCTTGAGGGCTGGGTCTATTTCACCGGACCCTTCGCGGAGCCAGTGACTATCGCTGTATGGCTCTGGGTCCGACATTTCGGTATGAGACTCGACATCCCCGTCGGAGGAATGCAAGTCTGATGTTTCTAGCTCGGTGTGGGATGTCGCCTCGCCTCTCGACCCCGGAGCGAGAGGGTCTACGTCATTGGCTGGTGTCATGGCCAAGCTGGCGCTGTGTGCCAATGACCCCTCTGAGTGTCGTGACCGGTGCAAAGGAGGCGTCACGGGTTTTCCAAAGTCAAATTCGACGGCCTCAAGATAAGCCGGGTTTATGGGACTAGTCTGAGGTCCCCGTGCCAAAGAAACATTGAAATGGCTCTTAGCTGCTCTCTTGAGACGAGGCTTGCGAACAAGGACAGGTGACGTGCTTCCGTGACCGTGTCTTGCCCGCATTTCTAGACGCTCCTCTTCCTCTGTCTCTTCATCAGTGAGCACGTTCTCCATCAAGCGTCGGTGGTGAGCCATGAGCTGTACACTGCTGCCCGAGCATCGGCGCTGACGGTTCTTGACGATCTCTGTATCCAGAGTAAGGGCTGGGGTTCCGGATGGTGCAATCTTCGCACCCCCTGTCGACTTCGGCCACGGTGGCGGCAAGACAATGCCAGTGGTGAGTCGACGCAAGTCGACTTGGCTGTCAGAGAACACAACACGAGCGCGTAGACGATGAACAGCTCGATCCAGTGCGAGTTCGATGGCGCAGCGGTCACGAATCCGACTTAGTTTCGGCCACGTTGCGCGTTCGCCCATCAAGCAAGCCCGTAACATGAAATCGGGGCTTGGGTTGCTAAGGATCTTTGGTATGTCGTGGATACTGATTTCCGGTAGAATGTTGATGTCGCCAGAATATTTCTGGCTGAGAATACTCTTAAGCTTCGTGACTAGTGTTGGAAAGACGCCAATCTCGGCCAGAAAGTGCAGGCGATGCAACGCTTCATCCTTGGCCAGAGCCGTCAGAGTGTATACCCAATCAAGCTCCTGTTTGCTGGGCGAGAGACTGGTTCTACGCGCTGAGGTATCATCAGGGTCGAGTTGGTCATCACGCGCCAAGAAGGGCACGACATGCGGGTTGACTTGCGAGACGATGAAATGATTCACATTGAACATTTCCGCAAGCCTCGTCATGGGTAGGTCGTTGTCGACGGAGCCATCAATCCATCTCTGTGGCGTCGGATTCCAGGGCATATGCTCGCCGGTATCAGGATTCTTGACTAGCAACGGAGCCGCGCTGAAGACCAATGGCACCGAGCAAGAAGCGGCCACCGCCGACCAAATCATGACGTTGGGAGCGGTGATGTAGTTGAGTAAGCGAGGTAGTTCGTACATGGACTCGGTGGATACGCAAATATTGAGGACTCGCCGTGTGCGGTTGTAAGCTTCTTGGAACGTGAGGTCTCCCACCAAACCGCGCATCACACGAGTCAAGTGCTTGATGTCGGACCAACTCCCCTCGGTGAGCAATCGTCGCATATGGTCAAAGACTCCATCAGGGTTCTCCTCGGCATCGAAGACGGCAAGGTCACCGTACGGGAATTCCCTAACAAGACGAGGAATCTCCTCGTCGGTTCGGGTGCAGATGACGGCAGACACGATGGAGCCAGCTGAGGCACCCGATATGATGCGCGGCAGCAGCTTGACCTCGAAGAGCGCCTTTAAAACACCTATATGGGACATACCCAGGGTTCCTCCGCCGCTCAACAGCAACGCGCTTCGGCCAAAGCTTTGGCGAGCGAACAGGACGCTCTCCAAGATGTCTCTCTGGCCCATGCCCTCGGGTAACGCGTATTGGCTCTTTTCAACGAGAGCGTCAATGGTCTGGATGGCCGAGTCGACATAGCGCTCGATGAGATTCTTGGTGCCGACGTAGGAGTGTCTGTATAGATCAACATTCCCCATGCCACCGAGGTCTCTGCACAATGCTGTGCGAACGAGGTGCATCATGGCTCGTGTATCGCAATTTGTTCGGGCATCGTCGAGCTCTTTCAGTCGTGCCTCGATCAACTCGGGGTAGTAGTCGCCATCGTAGGGGTCCACCTTCCACACGTCGTTCTCTTCGAGTATATCAAGTTCCTCGGCGGCTTCCTGCCATTCTTTGCGAGATTCGGCCTAGACAAGAGGGTTAGTAAGGGCAGGGCCTCTTGGTGTTTCCGCAGTGGTCGCGTCGGCAGTACTTGCATTCTTCATGCGGAGAGACAATATCTGCTTCCTCTCTTCCTGTTTCCTCTTGTTCTCCCGCTCGAGCTCGGACAGACCATCCCGCAAGGACAGAACAAGGTTGTTGGCGCCTCTGATGGCGCGGGATATGGAATCGATGGCGGCATTTCGGGGCGGCGACTGCGGCTGTTTCTTAATCGACGAGGACCTGCCGGTTTTGAGCGAGGCTGTAGGGCCTGATGATGAGGATTTGACCCTTATGGCCGGGAGAGGGTGCACGGGGTTGATGAGAACGTCGTTCATGGTAACGGGGAAAGCAAGTCGACGAGAGGAGAGGGATTCGGTTGGGCTAGAAGGAGCTTCGAGAAAGACAAAAGCTGGCGGACGAAAGGCAGCCCTGTTGCCGTCCGTATCGCATCACAGCCTGGCAGCGTATCGGTGCAGCGGGCTTCTGACATGTGCTTTAGAGCGGTTGTTTGGAGCGGGGCGGTCAGAGCATGCCCGCGTCGGTGTAATGTCGCGACGGCGTGCGGCTTGGTGTGCCTTGGAGTTGGGGGAGGTGACGGAAGAAGAGCCGACGGTGGAGGAGGGGACGCAAATAGATGGGGTCGGTCTGCGGTGTGGTTGGCGTAAAGAAGGACAGACGGGTAGGAGGTGTCGTCAGGGCGTCCAAGACGTGTCGGTGATGCAGTTCTAGGAAGGAGGTAGCGAACAAGAGAGTGTTTTGGCGTGTCGAGTCGAAGGGACAGTCAGATCATGTCAGAACAGACTAGACATGGGAAGGACGCAGATCTCTGGGGAGCAGATGACCGGACAAACGGGTACAGAGTACGACGGGGTGTACTTGGAGCGAAGGTTGGGGCGGGATTGCGGAGCAAATCAGCCTGCCCTATGAGGGAGAGAGCGTCGGCCGAGAAGGGGAAAGGAAGAACAGGCGGGCGCAAAAGGCGGACGATGGTTGGCAGAGGAGCGGAGGCGGTTGGAGCAGAGGGGACGAGATGAAGCGACGGACTCGACGGACGGGATTCGCAGTGCGGCGGACGAGAGACGGCGGTACGAGGGAACACCGAGAGAGATGTGTGAGAGAGAGAGAGAGAGAAAGACAGAGGTTCGAAGGGAGAAAGATGTTGCGTAGGTCGTCAATTCTGTAAATACTGTAGGACTTCTGTTCAGCGGCGGAGGGCCAGAGGAGGAGAAGATGAAGACGGGCTCGAAGAATATCGTCAGCGAGAGACGGAAATGTTGGTGGAGAGCGAAGGCCAAGGAAGGACAGCGACGATGGGGTATGGTGATGACACCTGCAGGGGCCCCCAGACGGGGACTGTGACCGCCAGAGAGTTGGTGGGTGGGTGGGTGGGTGGGTGGATGGAATGTGAATCCGGTGCAATGCAAGATACAACAGTGGGGCCGTCCAGTCCACCCCAAGCGTCTTCCCCCACAGAAACCTCCACGAAATCCTCCACAGGGACCCCGAATGCGCTGAGTCCCCCTCGATGCGGGTGGATGTGGTAGCGCGGGTGAACTGTATCTGCCCTTGGTAAGTTACCTAGGTACCTTAAGGTACCTTATTGAACACGCGATCGTCGCGGAAAGTACGCAGGCGACCTGGAAAGCGAGCATCTAACGTAAAGGCACAGGAGCAGCAGAAAGGCAGGCATCAGGAGGAACAGACATCAAGGTACGTACAACGTGTGCAGGGCAGACATGGGCTTTTTCGATTCCTGTTTTCCATTCCGCGGAGGCACAACGGAAAGACTTAGGTTCGCTGTGTGTTGGCCAGAGGCGGGGTACGTAGCGATCAGGACCCCACGTGCCAGTGTCACCGTGTCACAGCAGACGTAATGGGCAACTCGACAGCAACCGATTGGCCCTTTTCTCGTCAATTACCTACCTTAAGGCACCTTACCTTACCTCACCCAACACATACACAAGCATAAGCACCGCGCTGATCTACCAGTCTGGACACTGGACCGAACCTGCCAGAGGACGAAGGGCGAATAGGAGGCGGGGGAAAGGGGAGCCCCAACCAGGCCAGATGACCCCCCCAGATTCTGGGAATCCTGGGGCAGCAACGCAGCTCTGCGTCCTCCGCTTCGAGAGGGGGGGCTGAGACCATCTTACAGCGAGCGCAATGCATCGTTGCCATTAACCGTTGTCCAATCAATGTCTGCCGCACCACACCCACCCACCTAGACACACCAACGACTTTGGAGAAGACGGGGAAGACTTCACATTCATTCTCTCACCCACCACCTACCACCCACACGAATTCACTCACACTCCGCCCCAACCGTCCCGCCGGGGAGCCACATGACGCCGTGTCTTGGACAAGTGCTATATCTCAGCCGGTTATGAACCGCTGGAGAACTTGCTGAGACAGCTTCAGTTGTCATCCCCACTGCTGCACTCTCTGAAAATAGACTACATCTTGATGCTGCTCGTCCTAAAGCTCGACCACCAACAGGCAGCCAGGCGGCCAACCAACCGTCTCACCGTCTCGGATGTCACAAGCCAGGATAGGGCCGTTCGGCGAACTCTCCGCTCTCCATCCAATCTTCCACTTTTTACCTAATCTTGAGCATCAGCTCAGTCGGTCACCTGCCTCTTCCCATTTTGGAGGTCAATACCTACACATACTATGCGCAAGTTGCGAGCGTCGGTCTGTCTGGCTACCACTGGACGTCTTTGTCGTTGCGGAGACCGCGCTTCCAACGGCCTGCCTGTCACACCCCTTTCAACCTTTGCCCGCCGTTGTTTGAAGTCTCCAAAGCCCATCCGCTAGGCTCAGGTCTCGACCAGCTCCAACGCGACCAACTACGTCTGGATGGCTGCAACTTAAGCTTGACTTCCCTGCCTCATGAATCAGACGCTCATAAAATGCCCACTGGAGTGTCTCATGCAATTCATTCTCTAACTACTGATCCTTGGGTGACTTTTTTTCCTGGGCCCTGATTAACCTACAGTGTGTAATCCTGCTTGCGGGCGCACGTTATTTCCCTGCCACCAAGCCCCATCGAAAAATCTAGATCCGGAATTATCCCCAAGCATGGTGCTCCCGTCTCCGTTTCCTCTTGCTTCTCCTCAATGCCAGCGGCGCCTGACTCGGCTTGACGAGTGTTGCACGCCTAAGTACCGTGTCATCGAACAGAGTGTTCACTAGACTCTGGAGCACGTTACAATATTGTACGTCATTATTATCCTTTCCCGACTCTAATCCGTAACCTTTTCCGACCTGAATGCTCTCTAACGCCGATCTTGTCTTCGGTGGCAGCTCCGGTGTCTTCGGCAGCGTGCACATCAGCAGATTCTCAGACTCATCTTGCTTGACTCGGACCGTATCGTGCATTATGAGCCAACAGCGCCCCCCCAAGGCACGCCTGTTGATGTGTCCACGCTCTCCTGCTGTACGAGGAGAGCAGCGAACTCGGCGACCTTGTCACGAAGGACTGACGCTACCTTTCCCTCTGTCCAAAAGTGGCCCGCCGTCGCGACTTCTTCGCCATGAAATCGTGAGCGTTCAACGCTCTCTAATCTTTCTACCCAGTTTCTAAGCTTGGCCACGGGCACGAAACCGTCTTTGTCGCCGAACAATGCCAGCGTCTGGTTTTCTACCAACTTGGTTTCGCTCAGCTGCCGGTGGTCAGAAGTATAAGTTGGCGCCCCCTGCTCCCGGGATCTTGTCGAAGCTTTCGCAAACAGTCCTCGTCCTGCAGACGTGGGAAGAAACGACATCGTCGCCAGGTGAGTGATCACTCCTTGCAGTGGGGACACGAGCAGGTACGCCGGTCGCACCTGCGTCAAACCCCCAACCTTATCTAACACGAGAGGGGTATTCTGCTGCTCGGAGGCAGCAACTGGGGCGGCGTCCTCTTTTTCCTCGGGAACAACGTCGCCGCCCCTGTGGTGGAGGTGATGGTGGTGTCGTTTTGTTTTGGCTAGCAGCTCGTTCACACCTCGTCGGATCTTGTCCTCCGCATCCATGGAAAACGACCTCCTCGAATCGTGGCTTTTGCGCTGGGTATCCTCATCCCCGCCGACCCGCATGCCTAGATATTTCTTACGTGGCGACGTAGACTGGGCCGCCCTGGCGCTGGCCAAGATGACATTCTGCTGTTCAGCCAGATGCTGGGCTCGTAGTCGTATATCGGCGGCCGCCGAACCGACAGCAGGTGCCTTGAACTGTGCAAGAATATTTGCAATTGGCGGTATCTGTGTCGTAATCATCGCGCCGTACGAGTAACCGCCGAGGAGGAGAACCGGCTGATCCGATGTAGACGACCCTGGCGGCGCATCCGGGGGCGAAGGGGCTCGGGCTGTTGACGGCGACCGTGATATGCGAGGACCGAACGGATCGAGGAAGTGCATGTAGTAGACCATAAACCCGATAAACGACATGTAGTCGCTGCGTTCCGGCTTCGCCGTCCATGAAGTGCGCCCTGCCGAGCCCGAGGCACCTCTGTTCCGAGATTCTGTCAGCAACACTTTGTTTTCCTCAAAGGTCTCCCAAAAACCAGTGCGGCATCTCTGACCTGAAATTGAAGGTTCCAACCAGAAACCCGTGGCGTAGCAGAGTGCCCGCGACGATGTCAACAATCGGGTCGTCGTAGCATCCTCCCAAAGGCGCGTACGGATGGGCCATGATCGCAGCGTGCCGTCTCCATGGTGACGTATTCGAGGCGGAAGGGCTCAAAGCTTGGCAATGGTAGACTCGGCAGTCGAGAACAGTGTCGTCATGGAGGCTGGGGAGCGTGAAGCTCAATGTTGGTTCGGGAAGCATCTTCTGATCTTCATACTGAAAACATTGCTTGAATCGTCGGCGACGCGGTGGGGGTAGCACAGTAGGCTCCAACAGTCTGGGTTTTGGCAGAGGGTTCGCAGTCAGAATTCGATCAATCGGGACTGCCGGGCGGAGGAGCGTAAGGGTTGTGGTCAAATGGTGGAGGGAGGGACGAAAGACGTGGGTAGGTCCTCCAGACGGGATGGAATGTTCTTGTGATCAGGTCCCTGCGCCCAATGATTGACGCACGAGAGGGCCCTGCGAATATTCACCGACGGGGAGGGACGGGATGGCGGGAAGCGTGGGACGTTGGGCAGGCACAGCAGCCCCTCGCATGCAAGGCGAGCAAGCAAGCTTCGTGGTGGCGTAGGAGCGCAGGGGCTGGAGCACCAGGATCTTCACAGCGATTACGTACCTGGCACTCTGCGCCCCTCCATGTAACCTCACCTTGGCCCGGTTCAGCTCACCGACAATGACCGACGAAAATGCCCCACTAGAGCAAGCTATCGGAGCTCACCTCGAGATTGAACGGGAACATGATGTGACCCCGGGCAAGGTTGCGGTCGCAGAGGACCCAGAAGTTTATGGTAGCTTGCCCATACGTCATCTTCTCCTCTGCAAAAAGCTAAGAACAGATGCCCATCTTTGAACAACAACGGCATGTTAACAAGCTCATAAAGCGACAAAGCGATTGACACAGCAGCTGTGCTGTCTTTTGGAGTGCAGCAGCAGAAATGATCAAATAGCATAGCGATTCAACTCCAGTTGACATAAAAAGTTCATTCGTGGTATCGACTTATCCTGTTACAACTTTTTCTTATTGGCCTCGGCCTCAGCACTTTCTCGCCTCCTCTTTCTCCACGCCTTAATCTCGTTCAAGAGACCCATGACCAACGGGACGCCCACCGGCCCGAGGAGTGGCAGATAAACGGCAATCTTGTGCTCGTCCGGGAAGTAAAGCTGCCCGACCATACTTTTCTCAAAAAAGGCTCGTTCCGCCTCAGCCTCGGCAATTCTGGCGTGCTCAAGACCTTCAGGGCCACCCAAGCTGGCACAGGCACGCTCCAGATGATGCATTGTCTTGGCCACTCCGTCAGCCACATTCCGTGGGATTGAAATGGATGGCAGAGCTAGCGACAGCCGAGCCAAGGATCCCAGTGTCGACGACGCTCGCAGCAGCAGATCTGCCGAGCGGATGCGGGTGAGCGTTGAAAGTCGCAGCGGAAGGGAACCCGACTGGGGCGTTCCTAGGAGAGATAACAAGTGGCCCGCAAATGTCAGCATCGGCTGCTTGAGTGTAGCTGCCGATACATGTGACGTCGTTGACGGCAGTGACAACAGATAGACTGTTCCCCACTGCGGGATCAGCCAGGACTGGGATGTTTCGGATCCTGAATCCAATCCAATGGTCTGGTTCCCGACGAACAAGAGAAAGTTCACCGTCGGGGCACCGCCGATGGATGGTGATAGGGGCCATTCGGCGGCGTTGATAAAGGAGGCAAGGTCGTCCTTGCTGAGAACCTGGGACTGCGCGCCCGGCGTAGCATACAATTGAACCTGGGTGTCGATTGTAAAATTGTGAATGGGACTGAGGACGTCTAGCATGGGCTTCATGTAGTCCCGGATTGCCGCCTCTACATCCCATGTGTTCGGCACAGATCCGCTCGTGAATAGGGAGAAGCTGAGGTGATAGGTTGGAGAGTATCGAAGTGAGCGGGTTGTGCGCTTAGCGAGTGACTCTGCGGCCTCCGGTGATACGCCCTGTGGCTTCGCATCGGTAGCTCCTGATGCGGCCAGCAGAAGATACGAAATGATAGCTTGCTCTTCGGCATATGTGGATCGTAGTTCACTTGCAATGTACGAGGCAAGGGCGGACGAGGACGACGTCGGGGATGGTATGGAATTCGAGGGGTATGTAATATCGAGAATTGGAGAGTGTGGGTTCAGAGACGCCGTGGTCGACTCGCCGGGACTGAGACGTATTGTCAGGGCGACTTGAGAGTCGTATTCGGAACCCGAGATATGGCTATCGCGAGGGGCAAGTTGCAGGCGAAGATGGTGGCCTGAGAAGTCGTTGAGATCGTCGAGGGCATGCTGGGTGAGACGAAGCAGGTTCTGTGCTTCCTGCTCCTGAAGCTTGTTTGCTTGCACAGAGATTTGCAAGGGAAAGACGGGGCGACAGGCCTAACATCAAGATTGTCAGCCATGTTTCAACGTCGTGATGCGACCTCGGAGCGTTCATATGTGCCCTACCTTTCCATCTGCCCAGTCGGCCATGCCAGAGAGGGGCAAATTTGCACGATAAATGGTCGTAGTCATCCACCATATTGGCAGTCCCAGAAACAACACAATTGCCCAAAAGGAGAGAATGACGAGAGAGCGGCGGCTGACATCGGAGGGCTTCTCAGGGGGCGGAGCCTTACGGGAATCGGGATACGGTGGCGGGACGGCCGTGGTCTTCTCAGCAGCGTCAGGAGCCGCGCTCCCTACATCGTCGTGAACCGGCATTTTGGCAGCATTAGCCACTTGTGGCGACGATGAGGGTAAGCTGCGTGGTGCTCAACAGCTGCGCGAGAGAGGAAGTGGTGATGTGGCCGGCGTGCGGACGTCAGCGACACAACGCGACGCAATGAGACGTGGTTATTCAGGTACGGAGGTAGGTACATGGAATTGAGAGCTGCCCACCCACCCATTGATGGTGCCTTACATAATTAGGTTGGCGCTAGACACGTTACTCCCCCGCAGCCGTTGGTCCTGATCACATGCAGATAAGGCAAAGCATTATCGGATAACGATAAGCTGGAAGAGGCAAGAGCAGTACGGAGCAATCAACAGCAGCACAGCCACAACGTTAAGTTGTCGCCTCCCGCCTAGGTACTGCATCACATCAAATGTCACTGCTGCACCGTCAAGGCAAACCCGGAACTTGACAAGTCGGTTCACTTCGGCTGCCTTGGTTTGTCGTCTTAGACGAGGCATCCTGGGCAGCGGATAAACCGACAACGACGAAACAACCTTCGAGAAGGGCACGCTGTCCCTGCATATCCTGCCACAAGCGGCACGATGCGAACGACATGGAAGTGCAGGATCCGTATCCGTACATATCGGAAATTACTTACCGCGATACATTGTCTCTTCCTCATCAGTTGCATCTGATCTCTACAAGCCAGGAGAGGTTGCAAACCACCAGAAGAATTGGCGCGCAAGGGGATACGGGGCGTTACGCACGCAACGAAAGAGCACATCTTTATCTCGTCCTACAAATACGCACTGCCGGCAGTTACGCGAACTCCGTCGGCGCACCGGAGTCCGTGACCCGGTTCCTCTCCACCCTGATATTCAGGAGCAAGCGGAATCGGCCGTCGCTTCTGTGTCGCCGATCCCCCCGACTTGAGTGACCTGACCGTCAGCCGAGGAGCGCTGCCCCAAACCGTCCCTCCAATCTGCCGTAATCGCTGCCATTTTCTGGAAGGTCGGCATCGCGCAAGTTCGGAAGGGTGGTTACTCAATCGGGAAAGCGTTGCATCTTCAAGATTCCGGGCGTGTAATTTAGGTCTGATGCAATGCTCACCAGCGTCGGTGTCGATCTTTGTCGCCGCGCTTGTCAATCCCACGACACAGATGGATGAATGGTCCTCGGCTACACATTGTATCGTTCGAGTCAAGACTTCGCGTCAACGATGGGCTAGGGATGGATGCCTAAACACCTTTCTTCTGCTCGTCCTTCATCCATCCTCGGGCCATTTCGAGGGATGAGCAGACGCAACACCACACATACCACACATACATACCGCAGTACACACTTTCACACACACGAGGTCCCTGTCGCATCGGGCCGCTCGCCGTTGCTGAAATAAGCAACATCCCTCCAGGAGTTGCGAGACGTTGGCCAGGCTGTTGATGTGCCACAGCTACGACTAGCTAGCTGCGTTGGATAGTGGGACAACAGCCACACCGTGGACCGTGAACAATGGAAGGACCAGAACGACCCAAGAAAAGAAGGCCAACCAAACACCTCGGCAACTCGTCTGGTTTCCAAAGTTCATCGGAAACACCAAAGGCGCAGGACTATGTGACGCGTTGCGGTCCGTACCTTCACCGCACAGAGAGAAAGAGAGAGAGAAAGCGAGCGGGACGTTCGTTTCCAGCAGAACCAGTCGTCTGGACGTTCAAGACATGGGGCAAGGCTTCTTGACAGGGACAGGGGCAGGGAAGGATCAGGAACAAGGTCCAACCCCCGCTGGCGAGCAGCGAATCGCAACTCGCAAACACGTCCATCGCAAGGGAAACTCCTGCGACTCGTTACCCACCCATCCCGAATCGAACACGCAGCTAAAACCAGCCCAGCGCTGGCGCACTCGCAAAGCGCACGAGCTTCGCCAGATGCCGAGGCTCCCGCCTCCAATCGCCCGCTCTTAAGCCCAGTTTGGCATGCCAAGCCCAGCAGCGCAGCGCAACGCAGCACGACGCCTCGCATCGCATAGCATCGCGGAGCGAGCATCGATTATGAACTGCCGCTGCTAGTGCTGCCACTGCTGCCACAAGGGACCTTGGCGGGCACCTTGTACTCACTCTATCGACGAGTGACGGTGAGGAGAGGAGAGAGAGACAGAGTTGCTGCCCCTTCGCATCGCATAGCGCATGGCATTGCATGGCATGGCATTCCTTCACTCGAACCACACACTCTCTGCTTGGGTTTGTGGAGTAGCTGCCACCCTCCCAACTGGCTTACACCGAGGCATTCAAATCGAAGCCTTCCTTACAGCTGCAGCACCACGGGCAAGCTACTCGCTTGCTCTTGGTCGTCCAGCAACAGCGACAGCACCAGCGCCAAACAAAGCAGGTGAGGTGAGGTGGTGTTCCTCGGCTGTCGAGACGTATGCTACGGCCATGACCTTGTCCACCATCGCCAGCGTGGAGCTTCTCCGCCACCCATCCCAGCTCCAAGTCCAGGGCCCCGTCCCAGTCGTTCTTTCATCCGGTCACTGGTGCTTTATTTGTTCGATGGGGGTACGTGGGCTCACACGGCCCAACAGCCGATGGTTGAGGTCACCACCGCAGCTTCGGGTAACATATGATTGCCCGGCCGGTACAAGATTTGCTTCACTCAGCGCACCTGTGGTGTTGTGCCGTGTGTTGGGTCGGGTCGGTGTTGGTGTCGTGTCGTGTCGTGCATGAGAGAAAGCGACGGGCTGCTTGTCCCATATGGATCCTTCAAACGAGGGTCGACACACCCAATGCCGACTGCGACACTCTGTCTCCTTCACTTGCTTCCTTTTAATCTTGTGACAGCCTCTACATCCCGTTACAAATACCAACCCCCGTCCGCACGCCATTGGCCTAAGGTACTTTGTCTCGTCACCTTTTATTCCTTCCACGGCTTCTTAGCTACAACAGTTACAACGGTAAACGGTATCCTCAGCCACTCACCCAAACGAACAAAATTGGGAAGCTTGCGACAGCAACCGTCGGCGGCCAGTACCAGCACCGCATATCGTGACGTCTGCCCACTCCCCGCCGCCCACTGCCACGCTATCCATTTGAATTCCGGCCTTCTGTCGACCTCGCCCCTACTCTCTCTGTCCGCAGAGTCGCAACCGTAGAAACAAATTTCTTTACTCTGTCTTCTGGACTGGGACATTGCAATACACCCTGTACCTATAGTCACAATGCCTGGTAAGTGCGACCTCTCCATACCAAACCCCATGGCAGACAGACCTTTTGCTCCGGTCACCGGCGTCTTCGCCCCCAAAAAATTACAATCGCACCCTCACCCACGCCGCCGAAGCTCCATTACCTCAGCCGAGCAACGCTTTCCCATTGTTGGTCCGATCGCGCGCTGACTCAAACGTTTTTTCGCAATCATTAGTGCCGCTGGCTCTCGCCTTACCAGTTGCGGCTGCGGCGTATTCGTACATCAACGCCCGGATATCGCTGTGGTACGATAGACACCTGCTTAGCTGCGCCCTTCCCGCGACCCTTTCTGCGCTCTGGCGCGAGCGAACCGACCGATTGAACCAATTCTACATTCTCGAGCGAGCCGCCCAGAGCAAGTCCTCAGCGAACCGCACTTTTATCATATTCGAGGGCAAATCGTATACCTATGCCGAGACTTATGAACAAGTTCTGAAGCATGGCACCTGGTTGAGAGACCGCTTTGGCGTGAAGCCCAAGGACATCGTCGCCATCAACTTCCAAAATTCGGACACCTTCATCTTCCTCTGGCTGGGCCTTTGGTCAATTGGCGCCAAGCCCGCATTTATCAACTACAACCTAACGGGCAAGCCGCTCGCGCATTGTGTCAAGGCTGCCACGACATCGTTGATGCTCATTGACCCTCACGTTCTTCACAATGTTGGAGACGACGTCCGCAGTGAGCTGCCTTCGGTGAACTTCGTCGTGGTCGACGCAGAGCTCCAGCAGGAGATTGCGGCTACCAAACCACGACGCGCCCCCGATTCCGATCGATCCGAAGACCAATACCAGAACTTGGCTATTCTCATTTACACGTCTGGCACGACGGGCATGCCCAAGCCGGCCATTGTCTCGTGGGCGAAGTGCATCGTTGGCGGTGTCTTCACATCAAGATTCACCAGTAATGGGCCAAATGACGTCTTCTACACGGTATGCAATCTCGTCGCACTTGAAGCTTTCGGCACTAACGTGACATGCGCGACAGTCCATGCCCTTGTACCACAGTTCCGCTGCCCTGTTGGGTTTCGGCAATACCCTCGAAGCCAATGGCACGATCTGCATCGGAAGAAAGTTTTCCACCAAGCTGTTTTGGGAAGATGTTCGTGCATCCAAGGCCACCATCATCCAATATGTTGGCGAAACTTGTCGGTACCTGCTCGCTGCGCCGCCTCAGATTGATCCGGCCACAGGCGAGAACCTCGACAAAAAGCATCACGTGCGAGCAGCTTTCGGCAACGGCCTGCGACCGGATGTCTGGAACAGGTTCAAGGACAGATTTGGAATTGACACGGTCGCTGAGTTCTATGCTGCCACCGAGGGTTCATTCGGAACATGGAACCTCAGTCGCAATGATTTCGCAAAGGGTGCTGTTGGCAGAAATGGTACTCTCTATAGTCTCGTCATGGGCATGGACGTTGCCCTCGCCACCATGGATGAGAACAACGAGTTTCCTGTGAGAGACAAGAAGACTGGGTTGTGCAAGCCTGCCAAGGCCGGTGAGCCTGGAGAGCTGATGTTCAGACTCTCACCCACAGATCTGGAGCGCCGTTTCCAAGGGTACCACGGTAACCCAGACGCTACCAAGGCGAAGGTTATGCGCAACGTCTTCTCCAAGGGAGACGCGTGGTTCAGAACGGGCGACGTGGTGCGATGGGATAGCGAAGGGCGCCTTTACTTCTCTGACCGCATTGGAGACACCTTCCGATGGAAGAGCGAGAATGTGTCGACGCAAGAGGTTGGCGAAGCTGTCGGCTCTCATCCTGCCGTGCAAGAGGCGAACGTCTACGGCGTGGAGCTACCCCACCATGACGGCCGAGCGGGATGTGCTGCGGTCGTCCTGGAGGGTCAGCCATCAGAGGAGACGCTGCGCAGCATCGCGCAGCATGTGAAGCTGTCACTACCAAAGTACGCGCTCCCGCTGTTCCTGCGAGTCATGCCGCCCGAGGCCATGCAGACTACTGGTACCAACAAGCAGCAGAAGCACGGCCTTCGGGCACAGGGAGTGAAACCAGACATCACAAATACTGGCAGCATGTATTGGTTGAAGAACGACACCTATGTGCCCTTCTCCGAGCGGGACTGGGACGAGCTCAACGGCGGGCGAGTGAAGTTGTAGAAGATGTTTTGGGATTTGATCTGTCGCAAGCGAGATACCATTCTTACTATTCTTCTTCACTTAGAACATAGCTTACCATGGCTCGGCTGTCAATGAAGCACGTGCGTACATATTATCAAATTAAGCTATCCTGTTTAACAGACCAAGAGTTTGCACTTCGCTGCCGTGCTGTTCCAGCGAATTATCCATTTGGGTTTGCTAGTTACTCACGTTGGCGTATTTGACATCGGCTGTGTTGCCCAGAAAGACGCAAAAAGACGATGCCACCAGGGGCGGTGGAGGCTTGCTCGACTGGACGTATCGAGCACGAATGACCTCGATGCCTGCATTCAACATCTATGTCTCGGTATTACAATGTCTGAAGCTGCACGTTGGTCAAGGAGAGGTTTGCAGTGAAGATGCCGTTCCCTCCACCAGTTCATCACCGCTCCCAGCTGCAGGGTCAGGAAACACGATTCACCATCAACCCAACTTCCTGAAAATGATTCACTGTTGATCAAGATTGAATATAAAGACCTCCAAACTTCAATCGCTCAGCATGAAAAGCACATCCATTTCCCTGGGTCTAAACACACTAACACCACCATTCAATACAGCATGTATCACTTTTCTTTCTTCTACTCCTCATCGACATCACAACCGCAGCCATGAGCAACAACGGCCCTCCTTCCCCTTACACCGACCCCCCGACTCCTCCGGCCACGCCTCCTCCTCAACCTGCTCCCAACAACAACCGCCGTTAACTTAATGGACGCGACCAGTCAAAGCAAGAAATAGTGCAGTGCAAGTAAGGCCGATGCAGACGATCGGTTGTCAATGAAAACTAGACAATAGACTTCAATTACGTACCCACAAACAAACACCGTGACATTTGGATGTGGTGACATTGTCTGGACAGGACCTCGGATTATACAGCCCCATCATTCATTTTCATAGAAAGAAATGTCTATGTTGCACGTGCTTCTATATCTTTCTGGCATGGCGTCGTCTATGAGAGGCAAAAAAGGCCTCACCTCATCCCAATTGTGTTTTCAAACGCCATTAACTCTTCATCAGCAATGCGCGCGCCAGGTCGCATATTATTTCCTCGGCCTTGTGGATGGCGAGACTGACGTGGCCCTCGTCATAAGAAATCCGTAACTCGGCGCCTGGGACGCATTTTGAGGCCTTCTGCGCCATGGCTACTGGCACATTCGCATCCTCGGCGCCGTGCCACCAAGTCATTTCGCTCTTCTGGACGTGCAAATCCTCCAGCTCAAACCCCCAATGACTCCCTGCCAGTTTTACATCTTCCGCCGGCCCTTTTCCGCCAGGCTTCATCGCCTCTCGAACGCTAGCCACCATGGCCGACCGAACGCCGCCCAAGTCCGGGTCCAAAACAGCGAGGTCAGCCGCAGGGCGAGATTTCAGATCCTCCAAGACAGTCTGCTCAAGCCTCTCGGGGTGTTCCTCGTCACGGGCGGCCCTGCACAACGTCCAATCCATCCCCCAGGCCACGACTGGTGCGATCCACGGCGCGAGCGTCAGCATCGCGCGGCCTTGAAGCAACATTCCCGCGAAACCCAGAGACGGAGGGTACAGTCCAGAGCAGATGCCCGCCGCCACCAAGCGGTCACGGGGTATGATGTTCCAACATGACAAAACATAGGGAGAGCCGCCCGAAAGACCTAGAACGCCAAACCCTTGGATGTGGTAGTGATCCGCGACGGCAAGAACGTCGACGGGCCAGTCGATGATGCGTCTGTTTGGCTGGAACGTCGAGCCGGCGTGGCCTGGGCGGTCGAGGGCAATGAGCTGGACGCCGTGCTTACAGGCTGCTTCGTGAAAGATGAAGGCTTCGTCGTGGCTGCTGGGAAAACCGTGAAAGTAGAAGATGGTGGGCTGATTCGGGCTGGGCGAAGCGGTTGGGGGAAGGTCTTTGGATCCGGCGCCGTATAGGCCGAAAGTTAGGACTCGATCATCCGGTAAGGTGACAGTCATGGTATCGGCTTTGAAGAATGAACTCATGCTGGTCAGTTCTATGCTATGTTGTGGTGACGATTAGCAAGTTGTCAGTATAGTCCAGTCATCTAAAAGCAGTCACAGTGAGCACTTTCGGGTCTTAAAATGGCTGGTACGGAGGCGATGTCCGAACAACGAAGTGGTCAAGGCAGCAGCGCCAGCGATACCGAACCCTGGCCTTTTTTGGAATCACCAGGTTGCTTGAGCATGAATGCCTCTGCGTGATCCCATAAAGCCATGTAAAGCTGGATATTTGATGGCGCGCGTCCTGATCCTTCGAGGAGGCGCAGCATTAGCCGAGATGAGGATGCGTGTAAAGCAGCGAAGCAGCTCTCTTCCACTTGAAAGAGACTAGACGGACTGATATTGCAGTGACGAAGGTGATCAACTGAGCCCGGACTCTAAGGATACGAGAACGGCGTCTGTTGTAAAACAATGGTTGATGACGGATGTTCCGAGTCTTGCCGGTCCAGAGGCTGGTCCGGTGGACGCCGGGAAAGTGGCAGGGGCGTTGACTCGGATCACACAGTTGACCTGGAGCTTTGGGACCGAGACATCATGTCGGGAAAGAGACTTTTACTTCGGCTGGTTCATATCATCGAGTAACAGTGTCTCTCTCAACTCTGGGGTTATGTGTCCGGGCTGCCTCTGGGTTTGAATGGAAGAAGGCTGATGCCAAGACATTGCTGCATGGCCTTCCGAACTCTTTTGGATTCAGTATTTCGGCAGCTCACTCTTAAAAGGCCAGCCGGAGATCGGGCGGCCGGCAGTCGGTGCGGAACGGACGAGGTCGGCGACCTGGGGGAATCCGGGAGGTCGGTTGTCGGCGATGGCGTGCTAGGACAGACCGGGGCGGGAGATGGGACGTGGCGTGCTGGCGTGGGTTCGTTGGATTCTTCGAGGCCAACGATAGGATAGGCGCCGGTACGGTACATGCGCATGAGGCTTCGTCGTGTGGGGGTTGTAGCAGATGTGATTGTCTCGAGCCAGGCTGAGGTGGGTGGTATTGGACAGGACGTGGGTGAATTGCCTCATCCGACTGTCATAATTGAAATGAATATTCTTCCACGTTGGGGGGATGGATGGACGTGTAAGTCGACGTCGAATTTTGGAGATATTTTCGGAGCTACTGCTGCTGCAGAACCCGCGATGCGCTCTCCAGACCCCTCAAAGCAGCTTAGTGACCGCGCTAAAGCTCCGATAAGGCCTCGCTGCTGGGTCGTTAGCGCCCTCAAGGTGTACTGTGATGCTGTGACGGCCTCTTTTAGGGAGCAGTCTCCATGATGTGCCCTGGGCCAAGGATGATGTAATCGAGCACGCCATCGAGACTAGCCCCAGGAGGAGGGACATGGAGGGGTACCGACACCTGAGAAAAAAAAGCCCCTCCAACGCGGGGCACCCAACGCACCCTCCCCCTCACCTTGTCTATCGAGGCCAAGGCTGGCCTGACCTGGCTGGCTGCTTGCTTGCTGTCGTGTTGACCAGGAGATTCTGCGACATTCGATGCCAATCCCAATGAATGGAACGCTCAGTACCCGTTGACACGGCAGTCTCATCAGTTCGAGTGGGGGGGTGTCGTGGGCAGGTTTCGGGGAGCAATAACACGACTGACAAGAAGAGGTCGGCGAGTCGACTACTCCAACGCGGGGTCCTGTTCCGTCTCCAATGCCATCCATGACAAAGCCAAAGCCAGGTCGTCCGCACCTTTTCTACTGCGTAGGTAGGTATGAAAGTACCCGGATGCTAATGAGCAGGTCATAGTCACTAACTGTGAATGGCCATGTCTGACCTTCTATGCATTTCTAAGCACCGTCGTCTAGCCCGACGGGCTTGCTTTGCTCTAAGACCAGACCGGAGCTGAGCCCGGCTGACGGATGATGAATCAACAGGCCTTGTCAGAGAAAAAGAAGGACGTTGACAAAGGGACTGACAGGGTGAGGAGGAGGAGGAGGAGGTACTTGGACCCCTACCGCCCCAAGATCAGCCAAGTCTCCGTAGTTCAGGCAAAGTATCGGAAAGTACGTGTAGCACCGTAGACAGATGCCTTAGACTGTCCATTGCCTCTGCACCTATTTATTCACCCGTGTCCCTCTCACTTGTCCCGGCTGATCTCTCCCCTCTTCCTTCTGTTCAACCGACTCGCCATCTCTCACGTATAACTCCCTTTATCCAACCTCCCACCTGTAATCAGACACAATGGCTGACCAGCGCCCCGCTCCGTGAGTTCGACCCATCCAACTACTGCTGCCGCTGCCCCGCGCTGGCTACCCCGCCACCGTCCGTCCTCAGCGCCGTCTCCATCGTGGGCTGTCCTCGCCACGATGGAGAACGACACGCCGCTCCAGTATCACAGAGCCATGGCTAACATAGCTTGCCCGCAGCCTCCGTCTCGGCACCGTTGCCCCCAACTTCAAGGCCGAGACCACCAACGGCCCCATTGACTTCCACGAGTTCATCGGCGACAACTGGGTTGTTTTCTTCTCCCACCCCGAGGACTACACCCCCGTCTGCACCACCGAGCTCGGCGCCTTCGCCAAGCTCGAGCCCGAGTTCTCCAAGCGCGGCGTCAAGCTGATCGGTCTCTCCGCCAACACCCTCGGCTCCCACGAGGGCTGGATCAAGGACATTGACGAGGTCACTGGCTCCCGCGTCGCCTTCCCCATCATTGCCGACAAGGAGCGCAAGGTCGCCTACGCCTACGACATGCTCGACTACCAGGACACCACCAACGTCGACGAGAAGGGCATCGCCTTCACCATCCGCTCCGTCTTCATCATCGACCCCAAGAAGACCATCCGCACCATCCTCTCCTACCCCGCCTCCACCGGCCGCAACTCCGCCGAGGTCCTGCGCATCGTCGACTCCCTCCAGACCGGCGACAAGCACAAGATCACCACCCCCATCAACTGGGTCCCCGGTGACGACGTCATTGTCCACCCTTCCGTCAAGACCGAGCAGGCCAAGGAGATCTTCCCCGAGGTCCGCATCGTCAAGCCCTACCTGCGCTTTACCCCTTTGCCCAAGGAGAAGGCCACCGTCGCCTAAGCGCGAGTGGTGGTCTGGAGTGGAACTTGGTTTGGGGACGCTTCATTGAGTGACGACCGGCCGCTTGCTTCCTGCGTAGCATAGCAACGACGACAACTGATGGATGCGAGGCCCCGAGCGGAAAAAGTAAAAAAAAACCAAAAGCCAGTCTTCTCTACGTGTTGGAGAGGATTATACCCAGACGGCAGGACACGACGCGCGACGCGTTTCGTCCCGCCTGATACCCTTAGGAGGCCAGGCAACTGGCCGAGACAACCGTAGAACGTATGAAATAATGAGACATGAACAAACACGGGTTCCCATCTTGCTCTGTCTATCGTGATGACGGTGATGGTCTCACAGAGCATGTCCTCCGCAGAGGCTCCTCCATCTTAGACTTTGGAGAAACGATGACTTGACCGGTTCTGCCGTGGGCACATACGAAACACGGCGGCGGCTCATCACTCCGCCAGCCAAGACCACAGGCATCTCGGCCACAGACAGCTCGAAACTCGTCAACTGCGACATTGCTCCGTGTCATCAACTTCAACAAGCGGTGAGTTGACGTCAAGGGGCTTCGCAAATGAACGCTTCCACATAGGATATTACAGTCATGATTCGGAATGGAGATTGATGGACGAAACGAGGCGTTTGGCCGACGCACGGAGAGCAGACGAGGAGATGAAGTCGGATACACCCATCGTTATACCTCTGGGTGAAGCGTATCACATCAAGGACCTGCACAGACAAGGGCGTTGCGTAAGCGAAGGCCGACCTGAAGAGCACATGGCTCTGGACTTATGGAAGGCGGCAAAGCCATGTGTCCGTAATTTAGCAGCCGCATGGGGGGCCACCGAATTGATCTACATTCGGCCGCCTCTTGAACCGTCAACGGCCCCAGGGGCTTGTTGCATGTTGACAAGCGGCCCTCGTGCTCTTGGGCCCTCTCTCTCTCTCCTTTGATGGCTGTTGATCTCCTTGACAGGCCTGCTTCTTCTCCAACCCTTGACTCGGCCGATAGTGATGGATGAGACCGGAGGAAACGGTCGGCGTCTCTTTCGGAGAGGCCAAGGCGCCGCTAGACCGGCCACCCACGAGGCACCTTAATTTGGTGCCGCTATCTAGGCGTGCATAGTATCATTCTCGGGGTCCGCGCCGAGCTGGACGGCCTAGACGCGCCGCGGCAATAGTAAACTCGTAGTAGATATAGCACACGACCAGATGAAGTAAGCGCGGCACAGGTGGTGTGCCTTCTAGGGAGGGAACAGAAGCAAGCACGATCCTGGCGTGACACGAGGCAGCACCGTCCTCCGGGCTTGCAGCGAGGCAGGAACAATTCCAGATTCCAGATTCCAGTAACCCACGGCCAGGAACAGCTGGGGAAGGTTGAAACATTGACATCCACCAAATGACAACTGGCCGGGTTCCCACGTTTTTCCCGCGTACTGCGTTCCCGACTGTCCGCTGACGCGACGCGCGCGCAGGAGAGAGGTTTCCGGTTCCCAAGTGCCCCGAGACATGGCGGCAGCAGGACCAGGAAGGTGGATGGGGATGGGAGAAGCCCGGGTCGGCAGGATGCCTGTCCCGGGGGTGGATGGCTCGCCTGAGACTTGACAGGCCAGGCATTGTTTGTTTCCGACGGCGAGCTGGGCGTTTGGCGTGAGGGGAAGCTTGGGTGTATGGCAGCGTCATTTTCGTGCCAGTCGTGCTTTGCTTGGTCTAGCTAGTATCGCGAGGAGTGTGATAGCATGATAGCATCAGGAGTTGCGGTTCTTTGAGATTAACGTGACGTCGACGGTACCATGCAGGCCCTGTCCGTGATATACGGAGAGCGGGCCACAGACGGGCAAATGCCAACAACGTGGACAGACTGGTCACTGGACGGAGAGAGAGGGCTTGAGGGCTGGAACTGCGGCGGGCAGGCGGCGTGAATGCGTGACAGGCCCAGACGAGCGGTGTCGACGGGGACTAGGACCAGGACAGGGGCAGGGACCAGGTTGCCATGAATTTGCTGCCTGCCTGGCATCTGCCTCCTTTTTCCCTCGCTCGGTGACTTGTTGGCCTGGCCCGCTCCAAGTCACTCTGCCAGCTTTTCCTCTTCTCGGTCTGGCACGTCTGGTTTGCGGTCTCTGCTGGTTTGTTAGAGCAGCAGTGCAGCCAACTGCCTGTGAGCTGGTTTCCGTATCGCCAAGCAGCAGAGAGTGACCAGACACTCAGACTGGGACGTGGCGCCGATTCCTCCTCTGTCTGGCAAGGATGGGAGACCAGGATGGCGGTTCAAAGGTTCACAGCGGTGGTGGTTCTCCTCGTCGTTCGTCGTGTCCTCCCCTCTGTCTCGCTGAGCGGATTGGGGATGGTGCTAGGTTGGTGGCACACATAGCGAGGCGAAGCGCAACGTTTCTGCAAGAGAAGGAACGGAGAAAAAAAGGGTCCTGTGTTGCAGCTCGATCGTCTGATGTTTTTTTTTTTTTCTCCTACCGCAGCCGCAGGATTCCGATTGAAGGTGTGCATGGACCGCCCGGCGGGAGAGAGAAAGAGAGAGACGGTGTCGGTCTTGTCATGTAAGGTACCGTGCCATACTGCGTGCGGTAAGGATTCAGAAAGTATCCGTACTTGAAGAGAGTACGAGTACCTATCCGTACCTTCGGTTTTCACACATGGTAGGTATATCTCGCAGTCGGAATGGTCATCGGGCAGCAAAAGGAGCGGCCAAGTTGCGATAATGCTAATTAACCGGTGCTTCGATTTTTCTTCTTTTCATTTTCTCTCGTCTGCTCCCGCGGATAGAGGGGCCGAGCGACGCCTGATGGGGCCGGGGGCTGGGTGTTGGATGCTGGATGCTGGATGCTGGGGTCCCGACAGCTGGTGCCGGGAACCAGTACGTACCTCATGGACCGTTTGGGATGTTTCCGGTCTGGAAAGCGCGGACCAGGAGGTCAATGCGCTCATTCCCTGATGCTGCATGCATAAAACAAACACTGAGAAGAGGTACGGATACATTCACCTCCTTTAGTGCATATTCTATCACAAGCATTCGCTAGGTACACACATGGAAGTCTGAGGTGCCGAGTGCTTCAGCAATAGCTTCCACACCTCCCTGACTTTCCAGCGAGGTTGGTTGCATCGGATGTTTTAGTAGTGTTTTCTCTTGTGTTTGTCTCGGTTCTTTGGAATATCTCGACGGTCTGCAACACATGCTGTCAATATGATTTTTGGTCCTCGCAGCGCGCTATCCTAACGGAAAAGCAAGGGCAAGTGTGTGTGTATCCAGTCTTGCTTGATCTGCAGCCGTTTTCCACATTGAATACCTACCTCACGACTCGCGACTCGGATGCCTCAGACGCCTGCCTCCGCCCGCCTTACTCGCTGTGGCTGGGCTGAGAAAGCGATGGCTGACAGCTTTGACCAGCCAAAAGTCCCAAGTCGTTCTCAGCACTGAGTAGCAAACATGGGGCCAGGCACCTCATCAACCTGACCGTTGACTTTGTGTCCTGCATCAACTTTGACCTCTTCCCTTCCCCTCCTTTCCTCGGTTTTTTTTTTTTCCTTAACCGCTTCGCTCCCCCGCCCCATCGTCCCCTTTTCCACTTTGGAGGGCACGTTGGACCAAAGTAACTGCCACCGCCCCTTTCCAATGTGCGTGCGCGCGGTACCTCACCATATTCGCGGCGCCTTGCTAGGTACTACTGGATATTTTCAATTCAACTTGCATATGCGGAGTATCGCTATACACAGCAACTGAATTGTGCCGCAGTCTTGTGCACTGAGACCTCCACTGTAGTAAGTACACTACCTACCTAATGTCTGCACAAATGGCCCCCTTTTCCTCTCCCCTCCGCCCTACAATCCAATCCCGTGCCCAAAAGCCCATCTCCGAGCCCCATTTTCCCATGTTGGGAGGAGACATTGGAGTCTCTCACAGCTCTCTCCGTGCGGATACATCGCACACATTCATCGTCGCCGTCGCAATGCATATCGCCATGCTCCGTATCGGCGTATCGACCTCCTCCCATTAGACGCTGCCTTGCAGTACCTTACCTATCGTATCGCATCCGCATCGCCTGCCGCGCTCCGATTTCTGCTTCTGCCCTTGGCTTGTCCTATTACCTCCTAGCCTGCGGTCTCTAAGGCTCTGCACGGTGTGCCTCGCGTTGCAGTGTGCAGAAGCGACTGCAAGTTGACGCTCATCACCTTCTTCATCTGCCCTTCTCTCCCTCTCCCCCTTTCATCATCACCCTCCATTCCATCCATCCACCTACCTACCTTACCTCACCTTAGCCCCCAACCCGACCTCCGCTGTCCGTTCTCCGTCAAACCCCCGCCGCCGTCGTCCGCGTCTGCTGCGTATGTATGTGTTCATTCGCACAATCTCCCGGCAGTAGTGGTACATGCAAATACTCACACGGGTCTTCTTCCAGCTCAGAGGCCCCCGGAGCCTCTCGTTCACAGCATTCGACCCGCATAATCCACTTCTTCCCTCGCGTCCGCGTCGGACTTCAAACTGCTTTTCAACTCTTGACCGGCCTCTAGTCTGTGCGTGGTGCGCCATTCGCTCGACCCAGCCCGCTGCCCAGCCCAGCCCGGCCGGACGAACGAGCAGCGAGCAACATCTATCCATCCGTATCTCTATCTGTACTCTGTCGCCTTACCTTGCTCGCCCGCGGCTCCCACGCGCTGCAGTCACTTCGTACATTCTTTGCCTTTTACCTTCCTTGCCTTACACACACCCCTTCGCAGTCCTCGGCCAGAACCAAGACGCCATCTTTTTTTTTCGCTTTCCAAGAAGCCCCTCACCCCCAACTAACTACTGGCTTTCCTCGACACACATCCCCGAGGCCCCAAAAAGAGCAGGGCAGGCATCTGGAAATTACCAATTGCAACCCTGCTGGTGGTCTCGCTGCCAGCGCCGGCCATTGCCGCTGTCCGTCAAGACTCAATCCGCTGTCTTCTGCCCGCCTGCCACGACACGCTACGAACCACATTCCCAGTATTCGTACCGCCGCGCTGTCACCGCCGATTCTCACGCAGCACTGTTTGCTGGCTGAGGCGCTCCTCTTTCACCCCCTTCCCTGACGACGTTCTATTCTGATTTTGTACCCTCCCGTGCCTGCCTGTCTGGACTGGACTACCTTGCCTCGCCTTGAGCCTAGGTACCGACCGACCACTGGGGATTGAGTTGGTTGACTCGCTTCCCTGAGCCTTCTCCTGCGCCCTGAGTCGCTTCGCCGTGGCCCAGGTCGCTCGCCTGCCCGCCGCGCCTTCGCGGTCTCTGTCGTCCGTCGTCGTCGTCACAGCGTTGTCGTCTCCGCCATTGACCTGATCAGCTTCACCGGCTATTCGCCCGTCTCTGCAGCAAGCATCGGCAAGCAGCAAACAACTCGCTTCCTTCGCAGCAGGCCTGGTTCGAATACACTACACTACCTACCTTCCTGGAATCGATCGACTCGTCTCGACGGGACCAAAGTCGCCCGCGCCGCGATCCGTCTTGACCAAATCTGTCCTCGAACCCCGTCGATAGAATTCGACACCCTGCGCCTCCCCGGTTCAAGGTGCGTACCTTGCGCTTTTGTCTATCCAACTCTGATTTCCGCGCTGCCCTTCATCTGCCCTGTGTGCTGTTGCGTTGCTCTGCCTCGTGCCGTCCCCTCCCCTCCTCCCATGCCCATTGCCAGGTCCTAATCCCCTCCTGATCCCCATCCCCCATCCTGATCCTGATCCTGTCCCATTTAGCCCTCCACTACCCAGCCCACATCCCACTCTATCTCTTGTGCGCCGCTTTCTGTCAACTGTGGGGAGCAAAGGCAGAAACGGAGAGCCAGCCCAGAAACACGCACAAAACGATACGGGCAAGGCCTGTCTGCTCAGCTCAGCCCAGCCCAGCCAGCCAGGCGTGTCCACCTCACAGACACTCGCACACACACACATATCCACACGTATCCCACATTTACACATACACACGCACAACACACCTTCACCACACTCAGGAGAAAGAGACAAAGACGGAGACCAAGGCATGCCATACTTGCCTCTTGAGAGAGAACCACAAACAACCGTTAGCCAGTCTTCTGTAGACTGAAGCTGGAGCCTCGGTCAGCATCCCAGCCGGAACCGCCGCCAGAACCACTGTCAGAGCTGTACCCGTCATCCGGACAGGGGCCCTAGCAGAGTCAGGCGAACGAATCATCCTTGGCTGAGTCGCTTGATCCAGGGTCCCCGTTCGATCCAAGATAGCTCTGTTTTTCGCTTCTTTTCTTCTTTTCATCTTAACCTGGCTTCTGGTTTTATGCGGCTCGGCTCTCTCTCCATCTTCTTGTGTCTTCGCCTGGTCTTGTTGTCGTTACGTTGTTGAGACTTCACCACCAACAACAGCAACGAAAACTTGACCGTCGCTTGCTCCTCCGCCTCCACCGCTCCTCTTTTGCTTCGGTCCTCCCGTTTCCCGTCCTTGTTTGTTACTGCTCTCTTTTGGGGGGGCACTCGCTGGTTTATGGCATTGGTGTCGACGGCAGACCTCGACGATCTTGTCTTGGACCAGTCCCTGTTGACCTCCGGCGCTTGATCACCCCATACCCACGATCCCGCCCCTCTTACACCACATGCAAACCCTCCCAACCTCCATTTCGAGCTTCTGAGGTTTCCCCCCTCGACATTTCCGAACCCGATTTGACTTTGCGCTACTTGCTGCGGCTGTTTATGCAGCCTGCGGGTTGATACCGCCGCAATGTCTGGCTCGGGACTAACCTCGAATCAGTCAGACCTCTCCCGCTTTTCCGATTCGGAGACGGAGCAGGACCGGTCGCCCCCCTCCGGAAAGACCACGGCCGATATCCTCTCGGGCGTTTATCGGGGCTTCAAGAAATTCGCTCCGAGCAGAGACGACTCTTCCAAGCTATCCAGACAGCCGTCACTGTCCCGCCTCGGTTTCAACAGCAACTCCCCGAGTTTGACTTCTTCCCCCTCTCCGCCCCCGTCCGCGACACCGACGCCCATTCCAGGCTCAAGCTCTTCCAAGATTCGTGCTCTTCAGCATGCAAGGAGTCTGAGCCTACAGAGCAGTCTCGCCAAACCCCTCCCCGAACCGCCACCAGAAACCTCGCCCGTCGGCCCCGATACCCCTGCTGCCACACACTACAACTACGCGAGTCTTGGTGCTATCGAAGAGGCTCCGGCCGATGATTTGGAAAGTCGCACGAGTACGATGGACTCGAGCATATCGGTGGACAGAGCACAGATGTACAGCAGCCAGAGCAGCCTGGCAAGCTCGTCCAGGCAAGATGGAGGCGAAGAGATGCGTGAAAACCTGACGCCACGGAGTAATGGCCCGTTGTCTGCAGGCCCTTCACCCTCGTCCCAACCCAACAGAGCTCCTTCAGCCGCTGGCACTCCTACCCCCTCATCATCGGCGCACCTGTCCGGCCTCATGTGCAACGTGCACCGTACGACCGGCAGAGAGCCGCACCCGCTCGTCGGAGCCACGACGACCATATTGGGCGACAAGCTATACGTCTTTGGAGGAAGAATACTGTCTAGAAGCCGGCCGGCCCCACTGACGTCGGATCTCTACGAACTTGACCTTATCCGCAGGCACTGGTCGAAGCTAGAAGCGTCAGGCGACATCCCACCACCGCGCTACTTTCACTCCATGTGCCCCCTCGGCGACACCAAGATGGTTTGCTACGGAGGCATGTCGCCGACGCCTAACCAAACCGGCGCAGGTCCTGACCAGCAGCCCGAGGTGACGGTCATGTCCGACATTTATATCTACGATGTGCCGACGCGGAAGTGGACGTTTATTCCTACGCAGGATGCTCCTCAGGGTCGCTACGCGCATTGCGCCTGCATCCTACCTACTTCGGCAACTTTTACATCGCACAAGGCGCCGCTGTCGGCCCTTCAACATAACCCATCATCAGGAAACCCCAACGAAGGCAGGATAGGAATCAACATTGATGGTTCCGGCGGCGCTGAGATGGTGGTTGTGGGTGGGCAGGATGGCGCCAACCACTACATCGAACAGATTAGCGTGTTCAACCTGCGCAGTCTCAAGTGGACCTCGATTGAGCCATTGGATAAGAGCTGCGGCGCCTATCGGAGCGTCGTCGCGCCATTGCCTCCTTCAGTCAGCACGCGTATTGGCAAGTCAAGCTTGAATGGATTCCAGCAGGGCGGCAACATGAGCCAAGAATCCCGAGAGGCCGGATCCTCGATGCTGATCTACTCCAACTATAACTTCTTGGACGTCAAGCTCGAGCTTCAGATCAGATCTTCGGATGGCACTTTGACAGAAAAGCCCATGTCAGGCTCCTATTCACCCCCGGGTCTGCGATTCCCCAACGGTGGCGTGATCGACACATATTTTGTTGTTAGCGGCACATATCTCACATCTTCGAAGCAAGAATATGCGCTGTGGGCTCTGGATCTGAAGACGCTGACCTGGTCACGAATCGATGCGGGCGGTGCCGTATTCAGCCAAGGCAGCTGGAACCGTGGTGTGCTATGGAACCGGAGAAATACCTTTGTGATTCTGGGCAACCGGAAAAGAAGCCTCGTCGACGACTATAATCATCGGCGAATCAACTTTTCCAACGTTTGCATGGTCGAGCTGGAAGCGTTTGGTTTCTACGACAACCCGAGAAAGACGAGCCCGATGTCCGGATTCGTGTCTGCAAGCAGCCCCTACACCGGCCCTGGCTTGAGCTTGGCGAGGAAGGCGGGTTCTACAGCAGGCGGACGCTTCCACTCGAAGGCTGCCGAAGAACTCGGAGAGAAGGCACTTGCCTTGCGTGAGCTGTCCGATATGGATATCCTGTGTTTGCATGGAGAAAGAATACCTATTAATTCCAGGATCGTCGCCCGGCGTTGGGGTCCATACTTTGTCCAGCTCCTGCGGGAGGGCACGGCGACTCAGGACGGCAGCGATGCAATGACTTTGCGGTCCGGTCTCGGCAGTGCGGTCAGAAACTCCGTCTTGACCATCACGCCATCTCGTAACACCCACGAGAGCACGAACTCTGTGGCCAGCACAGTGCTCTCGTCTGGATCATCGGCCAAGCCTCCCAGCACAGCTCCGACCAGCGCCTCCGCGGCCTCGTTCTCCATTCCCGGTTCAGGTGGTGCCGACCCGAATACCGTCAACTCGGCGCCGACTCCGAGATCTCTGCCGCCCAACTCGCGACCTCGGTGCCTCTACCTTCCTCACACATACCTGACGGTCCAGGCTCTGCTTCACTTCCTCTACACGTCGTCGCTGCCGCCGCCGTCGTCTCCCCTGTGTACGCCTCCTATCCTCTGCTCTCTTCTGCAGATTGCTCGACCATACAAAATCGACGGTCTGCTGGAGGCGGTCGTCGAACGTCTTCACGCGCTACTCGACTCAAGAAACGCGGCCGCCGTATTCAACGCAACTGCCATGGCAGCCGGTGGCGGTCGCGGCATCGACGGCTCCCTCAATCCCAATTTCTTCGTTCCCGTCGACGCCATGGGCTCCCCGCTATATCCCGACGGTTTTCAAAACGGCAGCAGTGCAGATCTGCAGAGTCTTTCTTCTCGCGCGGGAGGTTTACGCATCAACACGGCCATGTCCTCAGGTCGACCATCTAGCGACGAGCTCAGTGCCACGACGAGCGTCAGTGGGTCAGAATGGAGTTCCGAAATTGGCGATTCCGAGCGTGGAGGCATGCGCGAGATTTGGGGCGGCGAGCTGAGCTCCGTCATTGGCCTGCAAAAGCGCGGGTTGCGTGGGCTCATGGAGGGTCGGAGGATGCGCGAGCGTACCGGGACCAACTCGGGTACGAGTATGAGTGCGGGCATGGCGCCGTACGGCAGTCAAGGCCGCGTCGGTCTCGGCATAGCTGGATCGTGATTCGAGCTGTTGCAACAGACTCGGGGAGATCTCAGCCCCATGGGGTGTGGAGGTAATGAAGTTATGATAGCATGTCCGATGCAGCATTATTCCCCCAGGAGAGCGACGCAAGTTGAAGCCCGTGGCAGCAATTGCACGGGGAAATTGGAGAGCGGATGTTTTGAGAGAAATATGTATAAGCGGCCTGCTGGATTTGTACGCAGCCGACCGATGCCAAGAGCGAATCTACAATGATACAAAAGAGAAAAGCCCGAGCCCTCCTTGCTTTGTGATCGCTACCCCAACGCCCCATGGTAAAGCTTCCATGCTCCATGTGTATATCTAACGGGAAGCCGTTGCTCGTGATAATGCCAATCCACCTTTTTCATCTCGAATGCCATCAGGCCTGCGAGCGAAGAATAGAAGAGAAGGGAACAGAAAGAAAGAGGATAACTGAAAAGGATCGCCGGGCAAAGCCGCTAGCCGGAGTAGGGACAAGCACCAGAGAAAGGGCAAGCACCGCGGCCGCGAGACTTGAGGTCCTCGACACCCTCAGCCAGCTCCTCCACGCCCTTGCCCATCTTCTCCTTGGGGCCAAGGTCCTCAAAGAGGTAGCCCTCGGGCATCATCTTCTCCGCGCCGGGAACGGTGCCGCCCAGGATGCGAGTGATCCAGCTCATCGGGCCAAAACGGTTCCAGAAGGTGGCGGGGATGTAGTAGGGGTGGACGAGGTACTCATGGTGCTGGATGCGTCCGGTCTTGGGATCGGGCTCAGAGAAGAAGACGACGGGGGAGAAGCGAGGGAGCATGAGGTGGCGGACGACGAAGCGACGAGCGATGAGGGCTGCGTAGGCGGTGAAGGAGGCGTAGATGCCTGGCTCGGCGAAGCTGATATCTCAACGTCAGCGGCAGGCCTCATGTGTAAGACAGAGCGGAGGCAGGCCAAGCAAGCCAAGCCGGGCACACGAGTACTGTACTCACCAAAAGGTGTCGCGGATGCGGTCGCCCATGAGCACGGTCAGAACCTCCTGGGCAAAAGACTTTGCAAACTTGGGGACGTGCCAGATCATCATCTCCATGAGCTGGGCGCTGGCCTGGATGTTGTTCTTGTGAGGCTTCATGGCGTCGATCTCGTAGCGCTTGGCCCAATCGGTGATGTCCCGGGCGAACTCAATGCCGTCGGCCCACGAGTCCTGGGAGAGGTAGCCCTTGTACTGGATGTCCATGGAGTCGCCGAGGGCCTTCCAGTGGGTACCGATGGCGCAAAGCTCCATGTCGGTGAGGGAGCGCCACTCGTAGAGCTGCATGAAGCGGGTGGGCTCGGTGACGCAGACGGCGAGGGTGTAGAGGAAGTCGGCGTTGGAGATCTGGCCGCGGGCCTTGTAGCCGCTGTGGAGGTAGTTCATGCGGGAGATGGCCTTGAGGCAGCGGTCCGAAGTCGGGGGGTTCATGGAGAACTCGCCAAAGATGATGACGGTGTCCTCGTAGCGCTTCTGAGCATTCTTGGGGTCGGCGAGGTTCTTTGTGGCTACGATGAGCTTGGAGATGGTCTCGAAGCCGTAGGTCTGGAGTGGTGTTGTCAGATTGACTGAGTGACCAATTTGATCATGGATGGGAACGATTGGAAAATAACCTTGAAGATGGCGAACTGGAGAGCCAAGGTGTAGAACTTGGGGAACTCAAACTCAATCATGTGCTTCAGGATGAGCTGGGCATCGTTGTTGGTCATGCGCGCGAGGGAAGCGCGGTCGGTGTAACCCATTCGCTTCTGGAGGTTATTGATGCGTCTGAAGCGGAGAGAATGGCACAGGACGAGGTAGCCTGCAAGGAGAGACAGCAGCATGGACAGGGTGGGAAGGGTCGCGGGCATGGCGACGGTGATGTCCATGATGCGCGTCGTATAGCCCTCAGAGGCGGAGTGGGTGAAGTTGGTATCGGAATCCATGGTGCTGGCGGTGCAGTGTAGATGGTCTGCACAAGGCTGCACTTTTGGGAGGGTGTTGGTGTTTTTGTCAGGTTGAGGTGAGAAAGTAAGCAGAGGCTGCTTTGTGGGAAATATCTAGGTGTAAAGGTGAATGGATCAAAGACCCCTGGGTAGTGCGAAAACGCAGGAGCGGCAATCTCAAGGCTGTCCTCCCAGCTGGGAAGAACAACAGAGGGGAGGGGATCTGCTGGACGTGCGTGTATAAGCTTGGGAGATCTGACAAACATTCATATGATGGTTTGAAAAAGCGTTCTTCCAGTACGATGCGGAGGAGGGGTAGCTGTGTTTAGCAGAGATGCTTACCTTTGTCTCAGACAGCTGTCTTTTTGTGTGTAAGAATGTTGGTTTGCCTTGGGTAGTGTTGTTAGGAGGTTTTACTTAAACCTGAGTCAAAAAGTACAGTGAATGCTCAGGATAGAAAAGTGAATAGACACAGCCAAGGCCAAGGCTGCTGCTGACCAAAGGAAGTGAGGGGAGAGGTGAGATTTGAAGAAGAGCAGATGGAAAAGGGCAGCAAACACCAAAAGTCCCTTTGACCCCCTGTTGACACGAACATGAGGAGGTCCAGATGGGGGAGGTAGCAGGGGGGGACCCTGGGCCTTATCGCATTTGTCGGGCCTGGAGGATCATCTGGCGGAGCTAGGTAGGCAGGCTGGCGAGGAATCATCACCTCAGGCTGGAGGTCGCACCAACCACCATGCGGAAATGCCGTGGGTGGCGGCCGACGGTTTCTTTGAGGATTCTCCAGTATCCCGTTGTAAATCCGGCTGGTTTCTTTAGCAGCCACTGTTGATTGCCGTCCACATCACCCACTGGGCTGCCAGGTGGTGGGGACGCGTGTAAGCCTCGTGGAACCGTCGCTGTCAGTCGGGTTCGGCCTAGACAAAGGAGCTGTGGTAATTGCCTATCTCGAGCACAGATGGCAGATCTGCCTGATTTCCCTCAAAGTCTGAGATGCTCGGAAATGTCCCCGATGCCAAACGCCAAACGCCAGACGCCCGGCGCCCGGCGTCAGGTACTCAGGTACCTGAGGATGCTCCGGGCACGTGGTGAAGCACAACTCAATACCTGAGGTAGGATGCTCACACTCTAAATTCCCAAAGCACCAAGGAAGAAGCTGGAGGGGCCAGAGCATCCGACTACCTAGGCGAGGTACCTTACCTGTGCTTAAGATGCTAAGGCAAGCACCCCTCATCGACATTGCCGGCTTACCTTAGCAGCAGGAGGCGCACCCCGCACCTCCCCTATTGGCCGCCGCCATCTCGTGAAGAGTCCCGGCTCTGAGGATCAATTGGGCCTAACTGCCTTCTGACAGGTACAAAAAGGGGCAAAGAGATGAGCCAGGTGTGCGTGTCGACATCTAGAACTGCTAGCACCAGCCTTAGCCTCGACTCCTCCGTCGGGCTTGCCACCGACAATTGTCAGGCACCTGTGGCTGGACCTTCTGACTCGACCCCTGGCTGGATTCCAGTGTCAACGATCGACTCTGGAATGCATCGCCGGGAATTAGCAAAGAGCCCCGTCAACGGCTTGTGTCTTGGCAGGGCCGGAGCTGAGCGCTGATATTAGCCACAAATGACGGAAGGTAGGCCACCCATGGATAACCGTCCTCGCGGGTTTTCTTCAACGATTAGCTAATGACCGCAGGTGTGCAATGGGAATCTCCGCAGCGTCGCCGCTACCATCTATCTGCCGTGCTGTCTGGAATGTCGAGGATCGTCCAGCTTTGACTTCTGATCTACGGCACATCTGTGACCATCTTCAGTCGTGAGACTCGAGGAAAACGTCCGCCTGTCGAGGCTGCGGGATCGTCATATCACCATGTCTTGCAAGTGGCGGTGATGGCCTGTCTGCCTCACCTCGAACGACGGAGGCATTGCTTTGCGAATAAATAGAAAAGGTCTCAGGCTGGGAGAGACACGGGGTATCATGGAGATTGTCGAGGCTGTTCAGCGGCAGACCATGGACGTCACAAGCGATCCGAGTAGAATCATCGTTGGCGATCTGCGCACACAAACATTCTATTAACGACACGCGCTTGAGGCGGCGCATAGCGGTCGGGTTGGCGGTCTCTGCTCGTCTCTTCTCCGCCATCGTCACCTCGACCGACGCCTGCAGAAACAAGCGCTCGGCTGTGTGTGGGGGAAGCGAGGGTTGCTCTGCAGAAACGCTGCACGGTAGCTGTCTGAGATAGATGAAGTGCCCATGCTGAACCCTTGTCTTGTGTTGGTTCGGTCGTCTTGAGGAAAACGGCGATGCATGGGAAGGAAAAAAAAAAAAGGTTTGAAGGCGAGGCCAGAAGGTGAAGGAAAAGGGTCGCGGGGCCCGTGGTAGGGACACTGCATTGGCAGGGACACTCACTGAATGGTAAGGTACGGGAACCCACAGCTGCTGTGGAGAAACACCGGCCCGCGGTGGAACCAAGACGTCGATCAGAAAGCAGTTAGCGCGGGCCTATTTCCAGCCCTGGCCACTGAGAGGCCCGGCAGCCATCCACCATGGCCCACAAAGCTAAGAACAGCTCCACTCAGCCTTCCAGGCGCGCGTCTAAGTCAACCTTCATTTCGTCGTTTCCACCTTTGACAGCGCACAACCGCTCGAACAACACCAGGCCCTCTTTCGCCCTCTCTTTCGCTCTCTGCCTGTCTCTCTCGCCCATCTCTGTGCCATTGGACCATTGAGTGGTTCATCTGATCCAGCTATGCGCATGCAAGATTCCATGCAATGACCCGCTCTGCTCTGCGAGCTACCCGTCGAGAGCGAGCGAGCAAGCCAGCGAGACAGAGAGAAAGAGAGTCGTTGGAGGTACCCCTTGTCCGTCAATCGGTATGCGCGTCGCTTCCAGGCATGGGTTTTGCTTGCTGCCGCTACCACCGTCCGCCAACAACCACAACATTGTCCTCGCCCTCGTTCCATCCATTGATGCAAGTCTACGGCAAGGCATCTTGGCTACGTATCCTGCCGCGCGCGCATACATACAGAGAGACAGAGAGAGCAGAGTCGCCTCCAATGCAATGCGCCTCCCCTGCCTCATTTC